AATTAATATCTTGGGTCTTCGACCACATGACAACTATGTTAACTTTCTCGTCAGTGTCCTTCCTCTAGGAGATGCGATACCTTGTCGTTGGTGGAGAAGCTCTTAGTCAGGTGCTATGGGGAATTCCCTATGGCACTTTGGCTGGGTTTAGGGAGCATCTCATTGTCTAGTCCCTGGCTGTAGTGTCATGGCCAGGGAATTGCACCAAGAGGTATAACGATGTCGGATGGGACTACCCTGTCTGTCATACCAGACACCCTCTACTGTCTGTGGTCATATTATATCACGGGTAGAGGGTGTGGGATGGGGGGGTTTAGCTTAACCGCCTAGACCAAGGGAAGACAACCTCACCGAAAACCTAATTTCCTATGATGGCGGGACGTCAAAGGGATGCATGGCTAGATAGAAGACTAGCCTCTACTGGTTTCAACCATGGGACACCAGGGGCAACCCATTGTATTGTCGTCTCCTTTATTTCTACATGTGAGGCTATGTAGAAGTGGACCGACTAACCATGCGGTTATTAATCTCATATCGATATCATTGACCTCATATTCAAGGAGGCAATAGAGGAAGAGGGATATATCCTCTATAATAGATTCGGGACAAAACCGGTATCAGGTCTAAGGAGCGACCAAGTTAAAGAGGTGGAGACAATGGAGATGGTGTATACCCTCGTAGGAGGTAAATACCCACTCTCGGAGGATGAACATCTGTTGTCAGAGGAATATAGGAAATAGGAAATACCCTGTCTCCCCTATAACAAGAAGATGTATGATGAGTTCTTGACTGTATGATGAGTTATAACTCAAGAAAGGGGGACACAATAGATCTTTAAGGTCGCAATGATTAATAAAGACAATGGAAGTCCGACGTTGTCTACCACATTCAAAGTAATAATGTTTTATTAAGAGACAAAAATAGTTATTTGTTTAACTAGTGCAAAAAGGACATATTTGTTGCACGACGCATGAGTTTTGTAACTCTTGCGTCTGTTCTGCAATCATGCTGAGTGCAACAAATATGCTTTTTTATTTGTCGCACACAACATTTTTCTACGATCGAATTGAAATTCTTATTTAAATGTTTATTAAAAAGTTTTTACAGCAATTCACCACCACTAACAATGATACTTTTATTTTTTTAATTTTGAGTTCATTTCAATTTTAATGTCGCAGTTTGAAAAATTCACTAAAGTAATTGATGGACAAGCTTCATTTCAGTAGTAGTCTTTTGAATTTTATTTTGATTTCTGCTCGTGGAGGTCTCGGGTTCTTGTTCTTCACTTAAAAATCTTTTCCGGAACGTTGCTGCGAGGTGTCCAGTACTGGTACTTGGTTTATCTTCCAGGATTTGACAAATTTTTACAAAAATTTACAAATGTTTTCTCTTTAGTTAAGTCGTCATTAATAATGTCAAGATGTTTTTTGCAGTAGTGCAATAAATGAGTTACTTTTTGCACTAGTCTAAAAATTTTGACTTTTATAATACAGTAGATAGTGTAAAAAATAGCTACTTTTTGCACAATCGTAGAAAGAGATTTTGCTCGGGACAAAAACGTTTTTGATTAAAACAGTCTTACGGTTGGGGTTTGGAACTTTTGGTGTTACAACTGCAAAATAAAGCACTAATTCACCACAATATACCAAAACACTTTACTTTTAAGAGTCCATTTCACTGGTCCGAAAAAGTAGCAAAATAAGCGTTCGGCATTTAACGTTTTATGTAAAACTGGCTAGGTATTTTTTCACAAATGAAGAAGATAAAGGATTATACTATATCCGTATTGTAGCGCATTTTTAGATAACTTCTTTATTTTTAAGATTTTGATGATCAAACATCAACAAAATATTCCTTATGTTTGGACTAAATTTTCTCGAAAATAAAGACAATTTAAAATTCCGTTACAATACCGAAATAGATTGAAGTTTTGTGATTTCAGTGATATATAATTTATATGGTTTTGTAACAAATTGTTAGCTATTTTATGGCAAATGCTGAAGCTCTGCAAACCTTAATCAAACCTTAATCAAAGCCCGTGTGTTTGGAATTTTGGGTGTGGCTTAACACGACAGGATCGGGCTAAGCCTTAGGCAGATTTCTGAAATATAATATATATTTTCTTCGGCTACACACCTGCTTTACCCAACCCCTGAGAGCGACCCGAACAGTACAGCGTAATAGACTCTTAACAATGGACGCGCGTTTCGCTAACCATGTTAGCATCATTAGATAATTAAAACTCAAATTTGAATCTCTCTCAGTTTTAATCATCTGCTGATTATGCCAACATAGTTACCGTGAAATGGGGTGACTTTGCCTCTTGGGGTGACTTTGCCAAATTCCGTCCGAAAATATATTAGACGTTGCCGTAGCCACTACTTGAAAAGAACGCGTTATGTGTTATCGGTAAATTATGGGTGTAGGCGCCCCACGTCTCGGAAAGTCGCTAAACGCTTGCCGTCAGTTGCGATGTAGCATTTACAGTGCTGTGGAGCCAAATCTGTTTTTAAAGCCTATTTTGTGCGTTTCAAACTTCTACGTGGCTGCAATAGTTAACCACGCTATATTGAGGTAAGTATTATGCAGAAGTTCGTTATAATATTGAGGGTGATGAAGCATATTTTACGTAATTATGCTTTTAAATGGGGTGGCTTTGGTCTATCAATAAGAATAAGGAAGAGGGCAAAGACACCCCATATAAGCAACTAACTTTGCCCATCCAGTTTTTTACCTTTTTTATATATATATATTTGTTTAATAAACAAAAAAGCGTATTATTGTTGTGTTGTCCTTATTACCACTTATGCATAGACCATGCACATTTGAGAAAATACAACAATTTTTGAAATAAACACGATTTAAAATTCAGAATTGGGTAAAGTCGCCACAATTCACGATAGTGAAACTCTCATTCAATGTTAAAATTAAAGTGTTTTGGTGTATTGTGGTGAATTAGTGTTTTTTTTAATGTTCTAAATCAGTCTCGCTCATTCTGTGTGCGTCCAGCCGTAGATGGGACGTAACAGCCAAAACATGGTTCTCACCGCGTTCTATCTTGAGTAGATATACGTGAAAAGCAACGGTTGATCTCGCGGAGGCAACAAGTGGAGAATAATTCAAAGAAATCGCGCCGAGACCTACTTCTGAGACTGAGGAACGTCGGTCTAGCGGTATGCGAGCCCTCGGGCTAGGACACGCCGTCGGATATGTGTCTCGAGCCCGTTTTTAACCGTCTCAAATCGTAGTAAATGCGCTCTTTACGGCCGCGTTATTTATTTGAACTTTCCAGCAACTCGACAAAATGTTCAAAAACACTCAGTTAGTATTTATTATTATTGATTTCATCGTTATTTCAGTGTCATAAGTTCAATTATTAATTTTTTACTTATTTCGGAGTTATTTATATCATTTGACTAGATTTCTTCAATGTTCCTTATGTCATTAAGGGGATGATTCTTGGACCTATTTTAAGATAAAGTCTCAGTATGAATATATGTCCTAAACGTCTTAATTTTTAAAATACAGGTACTGAAAACGTTACAGCCCTTGAAAGTGTAAATAATAATAAAGATATTTATTTTGAATGTGGTAGAAAATGACTCAGTATTGAAACATTAAGTCCATTTCACTAGTCCGAAAAAGTAGCAAAATAAGCGTTCGGCATTTAACGTTTATGTAAAACTGTAAACTAATTATTTTTCCACAAATGAAGAAGGAAATTAAAGATACAGGATTTTACTATATCAGTATTGTAGCACATTTTTAGACAACTTCTTTATTTTTAAGATTGTGATGGTCAAACATCAACAAAATATTCAACATCAAAATATATCCTTATGTGTGGACTAAATTTTCTCGAAAATAAAGACTTAATTTAAAATTCCGTTACAATACGATAATAGATTGAAGTTTTGTGATTACAGTGATATATAATTTATATGATTTTGTAACAAATTGCTCGCTATTTTATGGCAAATGTTTTTTATGGCTTCTCTGCAAAGCTTAATCAAGCCTTAATCAAAGCACGTGTGTTTGGAATTTTGGACGTGGCTTAACACGACAGGATCGGGCTAAACCTTAGGCAGATTTATGAAATATAATATATATTTTCTCCGGCCACACACCCGCTTTACCCGACCCCTGAGAGCGACCCGAATATACAGCGTAATAGATTCTTAAGAACGGTAGTTTCCATAAGGCTGAACGCACACAGAATAAAGAGTAAAACAGGATTCTGTATTGCTGCCGTGCATATTTACGTTTTTGACTAAGAGTTTTGCCCTTTCTGTGTGCGTCCAGCCTTAGGAGAGAGGGTAGTTTCTCGTAAAACCTTTGTATCTTGTGGATACAGTCGATACAGTAATTTCAACATATGACATAAAAAGCCAGGACTTTTTTACGTAAGAAATGTAGGTAATCGTTTAATTTGAAACAGTGTATGATTTTCAAATACAATTTTCAATATTTACAAAAACAAAATAAAAATGAACGAAATAATTTAAAATGAAAGAAAATAAAAGAAAAAATGTAGATACAAAAAATAAAAAGAATTTCATAATAAGAATAATCGAATAGTAAATTACGTATGTAACTGTATAACTTTATATTTTATTGACAAACAATTTTAATGAAAGAAAATGTTAAGTAGGAACCCAAAAAGCAAACCATCAATGAAATACCGTCCTTTCTTTTTTGAATCGCTCTTTTACTCAAGGCTAACGACAATATCTTATTTAAAAAAAATAGGTTGAACCTATCTCCAATTTAAAACAAGCCTTTTCTCAATAACTTCTCAGAAAATATATATAGTCTGTCCAACGAGAGGATCCGTGACAGTGACAGTTGTGTCTATCATTTTAATTCACAAGTAAATTGTATTTTCTCATTTTTGGATGTCGCCTGGCTCGTTAGGTGGACTATATGTATCTACCAAATATGAACTAACACAAGTTGTCAATAGAATGCTTAAAAAAATCCATATTTTGAATTAAACTTACTTTTTTTAAGCTCAAAAGTCCATCAGTTTTCGATATTATTGTCCTTAAATACCTTCAGCAACCAAATGAAATGTTTTTTTTTCCTAAATCACCAAAAAAAATCCTTTTTTTTTTCTATATCACTTGCGTAACTTAAACTTTAAACACATAAAACTCAAAGACAACCGTTCGCAAACTCTAACTCTTCGATACTACAGGTACTACAGATCAAATATCGATTGGATGCTGAAGACATCGATAAAATCGATAGACTAAGACGTACGTTATAGCCGTTCTCGTGAATGTCTCGCTAACTAACATAGGTACGTTCTTGGCGAGGGCACGTCTGTGATTAACAGTAAAAGTAGAATTTGTGCAGATGCCTTTCTCTTTGCTGGAAGACCTGTTTGTTTACCGTCTTAGGCCAGCAGACATTCTTCCACGGTAAATACGAAAAATCGAAGGATTTTCTATGCGGTTTGGGATGGTTAAAATTGGTTGACAGCGAGAACAGATGGTTTGCGCTAATATATGCTTTTTTACGTTTAAAAATTTAGCGATATGCTAGAGAAATAAAAAATCACGATCATTAAGAAGTTACCCAATAGTGATAAAAGTTGGTTCTTTTTGAGGGGCGTAGTTTTATAAATAGTAACACTAATAAAATATATAGGATGTTTCATTTAAGAATGTAAAAAACGAAGACCTCGTACAGAGGCGTGCGGTCCGTGGAAGCGGGAGAAGCATCGCTTCCATCTACGCTGAGACAAGAAACCAAGTTTTTTACTTAATAATTCATGGCAATTAATATGAATTTGGTTAGTCTATTTTATAGGGTGTCCCAATATTCCATGGATACATCTACTATACGTAATTTTGGTTGCGAGAATCAAAATAAGTTCACTGGGCACAATTTACTTCTCTACAAAAATTCTTCGTTTGTCCGGTAAAAGACATCAAACTTTAAAACAACGATACCTTTTTAAGATATTTTATGAACCGATAATGCGATTAGAATATTAGAATTTGGGGTGCATATGTTTTGCTAAGTTTTTTACACAAATAATTTCGGAAGTAACGTCAATATTTGGGTGAAATTTGGTGCCTGGGAGATTTTTGACATGAGAAATTTGATTTTGATGTCAATATGCCTCCTACTTATAGAGGGCGCCACGTGCATATTTTTCACTGGTATGAAAAGTTATAACTTTTCGTCCGTACCTGTATAGAACAACTGTGTAAAAATATACATTTACGCGGTTTTTTACGTAAAAAAAGTCTCTTGGCAAAAATCGCTTTTTTTTACCGAGACATTTTTTACGTAAAAAATCACGAAAATGCATATTTTTTCACTCGGTAGTTTTATACAGATACGGTCGAAAAGTAATTACTCTTCAAAACAGTTAAAATACATGTAGGTGGCGCCCCTACAAGTAGGAGTCATATTGACATCAAAATGAAATTCCTCATGTCAAAAAACTCCCAGAAAGCAATTTTCATCCAAATATTGACGTTACTTCAGAAATTATTTGGAAACGATGGAAATAAAACTCAAACTTCTACACCCTGTATCTCCGAAACTAAGCAGTTTAGGACATACATTTATACAAACTTTTTTACTGATTTTTATCTGCAGAATATGCTGCTGAAGTTTCCGGGCAAAGTTTGGACCACCCTCTATATTAATTTAGGTTTATTTATGAACAATCCTGTATATACTTAAAAATATTTTTGATAGATGTAAGATGTGAACTACAGTTCATTCGCCGAGTACACAACTATGTGTTAGATTGTATTTTTTTGTATTTTGTACAAAAGTAATTAAAGGAAAATAAAGAAATAACTGCAAGAAATATTTTAGGATTTATTCAATATAACGTACAATTAAAATATTTTTCTTAAAAAATATAAAAATGCAATATAGTTGTTCAAAAGACAATCTAATACGAAGTTTCTTTAACACGTATGTTATAAAAGAATTACTAAAATACTAATCCAATTCGTTTTTTAGTGCCTTAGAGTTTAATCTTTCACAATAATATATACACTTGCGATCGTAAATACAATCTTACAATCTGAAAAAAAACTAAAGCACAATCTTCATCATTATTGACTTCTTAACTATTATAAAGTCAGTACAACCATCGTTCAACGCTACGTCATACACTGTCGTACTCTTTCTTTCACGTGACAATGGATGAAATACACTGAGAGGCATAAAAGCGAATATCTCTCCTCTCTCTAAAATTATCGGGAAAAAATGCACCTTGATGACTGAGTGGTTTTTAAATTCCTTACTTTGTTAAACCATTCTACAGGGTGTTTCAAACTCTCGCCCGAATAATAATATTTTGTTTTTGAACTGTTCTAAACAACATGAACTGATCTCAGACTCTCAGTCACACCCTAAAACGGGTATTAGATAAATAATGATGACGGAACGTTGAATGATCATCGTATAGACTAGACTTATTTCTGACGAAAATGACTAAAATCTAAAGCACCAGGAAAAAACAATGAAAACATTAAGTAGAACTCTGTTCAGAAGTAAAAAACGTGAAATCAAAATATACATATTATCTTTGTATATTAAATTGTTTAAAAGTATTTTTTATTTACTTATCACAGAGTAACTTTTGTAAAAATTCTTTAATTTTTCATAAAAGAAATAAAAGTAAAAATATATCCTTAACATTATTGTCGCTATGTCTTACTATAAAACGTAAAAAAGTATATATATAAAATCTGTATTGGTTCTTATAATTTTTGACAAAATATTAAAATTAAAGAAAAGGTATACTGGGTGCGTCCTAAAAGTCGCTTACCTCTATAACTTTTTAATTTTTTCAGGTAAAAAAACGAGATTTGGTATGTCAGTATATGACATAAATTAGGATTGATTGACATTTCAATTATTTTCGCCCACTTCCTGTTTCACTGGAAAGGACTAAAAATTTTGATTTTTTGATATAGCACCCTAGGTATTTTTCTATTTTTTTCGATAGAAAATGACACTCTGGAGAGAATGACATATCTTAACAAAAGTTGTAATTGTTTCCGGTGAAACAGGAAGTGACCGAAAACAATTGAATACGTCAATCAATCCTAATTTATGTCATATACTAACATACCAAATCTTGATTTAAAGTTATAAGGGTGAACCAAAGGGAACCACTTTTGAGAGGCACCCGTTATACAAGGGTACTTATTCATGTGCACACTGTGTACATAGTGTTTCTTAAGTAGCCTAAAAACATTAGGGTGCGATTCCTCATACGTTTTTAAGAAAAAGACTTATATAAACATGGGGTTTTAAGTACTTCCTTTCTGATCTACAGGGTGTTAAAAATTTAAAAAAAAATCAAGTTTAAAATAAATAGTACGTCATTGCGTTTTTAAGTACTACAAAAAACTTGTTCAACTAACTTACTATTAGAGCTGGCCTGATTTTTTGAAAGAAAATTTAAACTTAAATTGGATAATTAGACATAAAAAATGTATAAAAATGATGTCACCTAAAAATGCATCACGCAAGCCAATATTTTTACATAACAGTTTTTTTTCCATAAAAAACTTTTAATTTATTCAAAACATTGAACTAAATATATCAGTACTAGATAAATATTTGAATAACAAATGGGTTCCTCTCAGTTATTTTTGCTTCTATCACGACAATCGGCTGCTATTAGATGAAAATTAAATTAGAAAAGTAACAACTTTTTCAAATAGTTTTTCGAAATTTGGTCAGGAAACCCGTTTTTAGCCATTTATTACTTTAAATGTCAAATTTGACAGATACCCAAGAGCAACAGAGTAATGTTCTTATGTCATTTTTAATCTAAATCAAAGCAGAAACTATTGCCCAAGTCAAATTTCACCTAAATCATTAAATAAAAAAAGTTGATGCGGACTTTATCTGTGTTTTTTATTTTTTTTTATATGACGGCTCAGGGAAAAAAGCAGGTAAGTCAATTTCTCTCCAAACTGAGAAAAGCACGATTTAATGTTCAAAATGTTACAAAAATAGAGTACAGGAACTTATAAAAATAGTGTAATAGAGATTTGTAAACTTGGTAAAGGTACTTTTTATTAGATAAAATACCACTGTAAATGACAAACATACGAACTCAACAATGAGTTCTGGTTCTTTCCTCTTTTTGTTTGACTTGCCCGCTGTTTTTCCTTTATAGTATAACTTTGACGCTAGTATATCTTCGGACTAGGTTGCTTTTTTCCCAGTTTAGCAATTTCTAAATATCCTTAAACTCACTCTACGCCAAATGCGTCGAATATTTAAATATAACAAAAAAATTGACTTGCTTGCTTTTTCCTCTCATCCTTCATATGAGGAATCACATCCTGACATTTTTTAGACTACTTATGAAACACCCTCTATATCGGGTGCGTCTTAAAAGTGGCTCACCCCTATAACTTTTTTATTTTTTCCATTAAAAAAACGAGATATGGTATGTTAGTATATGACATAAGTTAGGATTGATTGACACATTCAATTGTTTTCGGCCACTTCCTGTTTCACCGGAAATGACTACAACTTTTGATTTTTAAATGGCACCCTCGGTATTTTTTTACTTTATTCGATAGAAAATGACATTCTGAATAGAATGACATATGACATGTCAACTTTTGACATTTTCGCATATGGTTTATTTGAAATTATAATTTGCGGTTCGTAACGAAAAATTGACTCGAAATACCAAGTGTGTGGTATCAAATTATTCGTAAAAAAATGCTTTTTTCAAATATCCTAATGAGCTACCCCTCGTTCCATTTGAAAAAAATTGAGATATGATTAAAAATACGATTTGGACATCTTTTAACTGGCCAGGACAAGACACTAAAAACGTTAGACAATCAAATCTACTTTTCCAAAGCTCCTTGATTAAAAATTAGCGTTTTTAACATAGCCGTGGCACTCTATATTGAAATTTAAAATACGATTTTTTATTAAGCGAAAATGTCATTTTCTAACGAATAAAGTAAAAAAATACCGAGGGTGCCATTTAAAAATCAAAAGTTGTGGTCATTTCCCGTAAAACAGGAAGTGATCAAAAACAATTAAATACGTCAATCAATCCTAATTTATGTCATATACTAACATACCAAATCTCATTTCTTTATCTACAAAAATAAAAAAGTTGTAGGGGTGAGTCACTTTTGAAAATGTATTTTTCTATTTTTTTCGATAGAAAATGACACTCTGGAGAGAATGACATATCTTAACAAAAGTTGTAATTGTTTCCTCCGCACCCGGTATATGCGTTAAAAAGTTCTTTAAGTTTTGAGTATTGTTTATATTATGTCTCTGTATGTTTCTGGAGATGAATACATTCGTTTTTTTTTTTAAAAACAATGTGACACACTTTAAAACTGAAAAATATGACTACAATTAACACAGACTTTATATGTAGAAAACATGTAAAAATGACTAACCAATATGACTAATGTGCTTGAACTATTGTTTTTTAAATAACATATCAACAATTAAACATAAACGTCAAACGTCATAACAGGCATAGAAATAGCATTTCTGTTGTTTATTATAACTAACACTCAAGTTCTTAACAATGACATCTGTTTTTTTAATTAAATGTTATTAAATGCCTACCATAACGCAGTTTTTCACAAATTATATTAAGTAGATCAAGAATTAAAGTCGCTTTTTTTAAACTTATTTACAGGGTGTTCCTTAACGGCATGCTAATATTTCATGGGATACACGTCTACAAAGATAAAAAATTTTGATCTCTTAATGTCCTTCCTTCCAGACGATGCAGGAACGATTTTCACACAAAGAAAATCAGGAGATCAAAATTGTTTAGAAATAAATGAAAATTTTGAAAATAATTTTTATTGTAAGTAAAGACAGTGGCGTACAATTTTTTTCTTTAAAAATATTCAATTTAAATCCGTATGGATGCCACTGATTGGAATAAAATTAGATGTACATCAAAAAGTGCACTTACGATGCATAGAAGATATGTATCAAATTTCATAGAGATATCTGTAACACCATCACAGCTAATACGAAAAAAAAACAAAAATTTGCAAAATTTTACCACCCTGTATCTCAACATTCATATTGTCATTCATATGAAATTTTTTTCTTAAAATAGGTCCCAGAATCAGTCTCCTAAATAGTGGCATGTTATTAAGAAATAACCCTGTATAAAAGACGTATACGACATCAATAAAAAAAAACATAGGATGTTTTTTTTCTATATGACAATTTGGTACTTAAAATATAAATTTAGAGGCAGCATTCTCTAACTACTATGTTTATACCCTCTGGCCATATCATCCAATAATACTACACCCTGTACTTCATCCAAATTATCCAAGAAATTCCTTATTTCTAATATCTTGACGTTGCTCCTCTAAAAATAGAAAAACAAAAAAAAATTAGAAGAGAAATTCAAAGTAATTTTAATATATAGTAAAAATCACAAAAGTTTTCCATCTTTGACATATTCTAGCACAGATTATTTTAATCTCACAGAAGCGACAGCAAGCGTCGGCTCCTTAGAATTGTAAAATATAGGACAGCGTACCGTTTTTAAACCACCATACAACATTAAAAGAAAAAGGAAAACGTGCACTTTAAGTTTCAAGCGAATTTTTATTTATAAAATTTGGTTATATGTAGTTTCGACGTCTGTGATAACCTGCACGCCAACTTATTGATTTCTCTATAGAGATTAAACATACCTGGATGGCGTAAAGGAGTAAATTCTTGCTCAGACTTGGCACACTGGAAATGGCTCCAGAACTGATCAAATGATTGAGGTCCAAAAGTTCAGCCAAAGAGTAGCATTTGCCACTAGCGTCCAGAATGCTGGACAGTTCGTCCAGACATTTGGGTGTGATTTTCGTTATACCGTCGTAGAGTAATTCTGGATCGTCTATTATTGTCATAATCTCGGGTTTTATGTCGATCTCCTGTTAACAAAAAAAATAGATTTGTATATTATTACCCCTCAAATAAATAAAATATAATTTTTTGTTCATTTTGCTTAAATCTTTGAGGCATTTTTGCAATAAAAAAATTGAGTTTTGTTTTACTGAAACAAGAAAATTTTAATTTTGACATTAATCGATGTCCGTCAATAAAATTATAACCCCAAATCAAAAATGACAATTACTAAAAAGAATATACAGTAATTACAAGCGATTGAGAGAGTTCGACAATAGTCGTGACGGTGAACTATGGCTGAACATTCTATAGTAACAAAAACTTACTTCTTCCATTTCTTCATCTGATTCGTCATCATCTTCTTTTTCCTGTTTGATCTGAATGTCATTCTTAATCTGAAAAAAAAATACTGCCAAATTTGTAAAAGATTATTTTATTTTCTTATACAGAGTGAGTCAAAATATTTAAAAAAAGTTTAAGCGGAAACAAAAAAGATCATTTTACCAAGGATACATTAAAATACGCAACCAACCGTCCAATCAGATGAAAGAGGTACGTACCCTATCGTTGGGTATTGTGCAATCACGTGATACTCATGTCGTATGACGGTTAAATCTTTGGTTAGAATTTTTGTTGTTGTTTTTACCCTGTTTTTACCTGTTTTTACTTTATTTTTCTATTTACATCAGATTTATATTTTGTAATTGCCTATCAGACAATACGTATTTAGAAAAATAATAAGAATTAGGATCGTGTTTTTTTTTAAATCCTGGATATTAATTGGAACCCTTGATAACATTATTGCTTTTGATATAAAAAGTGCATTTTTGATTATTTACTTGGGCTAGGATATTAAAATATCGGTTGGATTGTACGACATAAATAGATGTAGGTATGATTATTTATATATATGTACCTATGTATTTATTAAGCTTACTATCTGTTTTGCATTTTCAGTTTTTGATCAGACATTTCATTTTATTTGTGAAATGCCCACAAAAAAGCTTCCCATGATTCAACATCAGTGTGTTTGCTGCATAATGGATCATTCCTGCTGAATTTTTAGATCATTTGAAGACTACACGGAAAAAAACAGATAATATGTTACATTTTCATAGAAATTGATAGCGAGACAATTTTATAGGCAAGTGTTAGCATTATTCGAGGCACCATCAAAGAAAGCAATAATAATATGCTTAGTCCCAGAGATATTACAGCTTAGTTATTTTGCCCTACAGGAGAAAAACCAGAGTAGTTCACTCGTAATTGCATTTTCTCGGCTCCAGTTAAAATGAACAAAGCTGGTTTTTCCTGTGGTCTTCATTTGAAATAACGTAAATAAATGTTTATACATATGTATGTGATGATTAAATTGGTGTTAAGGAATAAAATGTTTTTCGATATTAATATATACCTATATATGTATATTTATTTTGAAATAAATTACACTTTTAACAGTTTAATGGAGTTTTTAAAGCCAGTTATAATATTTATATTTTAAAAACTTGAAATCATGTGGTTGTAATCACGCATTAAACCACAGACTAACTTATTATAAGTCAAAAAGTAGATTTTAGTGTTAACTTTATATAACTTGTAAGTAAAATAATAAATAAAACAAATATGAAAAAACCAACAATTCTAATGTATATATTAAAATACAGTACAATAATAGGTATCTGATACCCTCATTTAACGTAGAATAATATTCTACCCAACTCAATACTATGTCCAACATGAGTTTCAAATATATCGGGCCCTAATTGTTCCTGAAAATAATATTTTTTTACATTGTTATACCATATTCTAAACTATTTATTATTTCAGTCACTTAAAAAGTTAATTTGTATTGAATAATTGTCTAGCATTAAAGCAAATTTGGACTAGTATTTTTAATGGGCATATTCTGTGTATGGATATAAGTACTTCCTCCAGATTTTGGGTTCAACCAATTTATTCTTAAAACCTGAAACATCTACGTATAAAAAATAGACAGGTTACTAATTATAATAAAATTTTCCCTTAGAATTATACTTCTTTAACAAATAATTTCCATTGGTATACTTTTCCATGACAAGTAATCAACTTCCTAACATTTTTAATTGATGTAATACTTCCTCATGATGCGAAAAGAAAATCTTTTCTTTAGCACACAAAGGACAAACGATATGTTGGCTTACTTTCAGATTAGTTACTTTTCCATAGATATCCTCATGTCAATTCAAAGACGATGAACATGAAAATGATCATCACATGAAACATCACAAACTAAAAACCTAATAAACAAGTTTATATCGAATATAGAAATAAATTTAGTGTTCTTACCTATTGTCGTCCAAATCCACGTTAATAGATAATTAATTTTTTGGATTTTTATCTTTTATTTTTAAATATATCTTTCGAACTACTGGTTTTAGTAATTATTAAATTAAACGAACTAAAAAGTCAAAAATAATAAACAATTCTCTTGTCAATTGTCAATTTTCTCCAGGCACCGAACATTATCGATAACGCACGATCTACGACGATTACTCCTTTGATCTGATTGGACGGTTCAATGACGGTTGGTTGCGTATTTTAATGTATCCTATTTTACCATAGCTAAAAATGATTTTTTCTGTTATTGTATGTACATACAAAACTTTCTTTTAAGGAGTCAATAATAAAATGTTTTCTCGTCCATTACCAACATTGTGACACACCCTGTATTAGGACTTAGGTCCTTTGAAAAAATAACGACAGCAAAGAACACATCGCTCAAGGTCATCTTCACAGACAGCTAAGCAGGGCTAAACGCACTCAGTTCGACGGAGATCAATTTTAGACTAGTGTGGGATTGTGTGTGTGTGTGTGTGTGTGTGTGCTCTAAATACTTTGAGTACGTTTAGCAATGTTTCGTTAGCCTGGTCAACATTAGTTACATCCATGAGGGTTACAAGGGTAACAAAAAGGCAGATGAAATGGCCCAACAAGGTACACCAATGTCATTCATTCATAGGCCCAGAACCCTTCTGCAGCGTTGTAAAAGCAGTCACGAGAAAGGCCACAAAAGGTGGGTATCCCACAAATCTCTAGAATTATGGAGAAATTCACCAGGGCAGAGACAGAAAAGAGAGCATAGCAGAACATTCGCCAAAATTTACAGGAGACCTGACAAGCAAAGACAGAAAGACAGTCAAAGCTGTAGTGGGTCTACTAGCAAGGCATTGTAAGCTGACTAGGCATCTAAGGCTGACAGAACACATCTAAAAGCGACAGGACATTCCGTGTCCATGCGACAGCCTGGCAAAAGTGCGGTTCTTTGTAATAGTCAATGACAGACGATTGATAAAGAGCTATTTGGACGATTCAGTCTCCAAGTTGCTAAACTTTTTGAAAAGGATAGGACTGGAGAATGGATCGTTAGGTTACATTCTCCAGAAGAGGACCACAGTAAATCTGAAAAGGTCGCAGTGGAACAGGTCGATAACCACCTCTACTTACCGCATAGTTCATAATCATCTCCCTGGCGGACTCTTCCAGGTCTTTGTTGCTGGCTGCTTCAAACGGCGACACGTTTTTGAAGTCGTTCTGAAGGCTCCACACTAAATTCGACTGACTCAGCAAAAATTTGATCATGGCCGACCACTGATTCTCCACTGCCATCCTCAACGGAGTAAAACCGCTCTTTCTGTGCTGTCTGTTGACGCTGGCGCCGTATTTACATAATAATTTGACAGCATTCATGTTGCGTTTCTCAATTGCTAGAGAAAGAGGCGTTTCACCATCTGAAAGAAATAAAGAACAAGTAAATTATTTTAAGTTAACGTCTCCTTTTTTGTTGCTAAGGCTAATCTGGACGAGGCCTACTTTTTTTACGCGGGATTCGAACTGCGGTACTCGGCCATATCATTGTCAGACATGTGACAGACTTGGCGAGTTTCTAAATCGACTCCTTTGAATAAGAAGACTAAGGAAGGAGCATAATGCTATCCATGTACAAGGTTATTAAAAGGTAAGGTTGTCTCATAACTTTTGGACCAATAGGAGCGAAGCGGAATATCATCCCTCTGACGTAGATAGAACGTAAAAAATCATAGAATAAAAGGAATAGAAAATAAAATGCAACCGGCAAAAAGAGATAAATGGACAATACAATCAAGAAAATACACATCAAACAACTGAAAACTATTGACGCCATACACTATAAACAATAAAGTACACAATGAATATCGATTCGGAAATGCACTGTCCGACTGTGGGCAGTTTTTATCCCTTTATCTATGAGTGGTAGCATTCCTATGACGTAGTAGATGACGTTTTCGATAATGGAGGATCGAGTTACGAGACAACCTTACCTTTTAATAACCTTGATCCATGTATTCATGCATGGTGGGCGGAAAAAGCACCATAAAAGCACTCTAGGGTGGGGATCCTTGACAGTTCTGTTTGACGATTCCTTTGACACATTTGAATTTGATTTGAAATTTTGTGGATTTGTCAGTCTTTACGGAGCTTATTTTATGTTATTTATTATTTATTCTACTACTGATAGTTGTATAAAGGTAGTAAATCTAGATGGAAATTGTGGCAGAACTTAAATTACCAGTGACACTATCGCGATTTATCGAAAGACTCTAAAATAGTTCATTGTGTAGCGTGCGGTAGATCTCGGCAAAAATTGAGTGAAATAATGGGAACAACTTTTCGCTAGTAAGTGACTATATAATATACATACGTGTAGTAAACCGATCATTTATGAAATTCACTTAAATTAACTAAATTATATATTTTTCTTGCATTTTAGCTTTTATTTATTACTTGTCAAAGATTAGATATCAAAGAATTTAGATATGTTAATTTGACTTACCTGCTTCAGTAGCGTATCGGATGTTTGTGTTAATAAATACTTATTATAACTTATCTATTTTTATTAGAATTATATATTTTTATAACAATTTTAATAACTACCAACATTTATTCACAACGTAAAATAAAACAACAAATTATTGAGTCTACCCCACATCTACCCTACATCATAGTTTTACATTTTCTAAATAAAATTAGAACGACACTGATAAACCGGAATTTAAGTCGGCCATATTTGAGGCCCATCGCGGTGTACCTAAGATTTTTGATATGCTCCTTCCTTAGTCTTCTTATTCAAAGATCGACTCTTATTCACGAGATATCCGACCTCATCCGACATCGAACCGGCGTGAACAAGCAGAGTGTATCAATAGATTTTACACTCTTGCCATGGAACAACAGCACGACAACCCCCGGACGGTTACTCTTCTATCCACTCACATCGTCTAACGTCGCTTAACTTCGGTGATATATCTTGATCAAACATTTGTAATGAAAAGTTTGTGAATACCTACCTTTGTTTTCTGAATACCTACCATAGTTTCTCCTGAATACATATCATCGTTTTATAAATACTAATCACAATTTTCTAAATACCTATAATATATTCCATACCAATTAAACTTTTAGTTATGTAATCGAGGTCGTGAATTTTAAATTTATTGTTGCCAACCATGGACATATTCGACGCAGGGCTGACTAACTGGAATTTAAATTTCGCGCTGGGGATTTAGGCAGTAGCTCTGCTGTAAAAAATGTCAAGTTGCCACCTTTATTTATTTATTTCCTGACATTGTCATTCGTTTTCGCACTTTAGTTTTGTATTACGAGTTTTTTGTTTAAATATATCGTGTTGTGATACTTTAAGATTAAAAATTTTTACTAGCAGACCTTGCAGTCGAACATTGTTCTTTTTAGAACCCCTGTTAGTGCGAAGTGTACAAGATAGCTTAATAGCCGTAAAAAAACACATCGCAACTTTATTAGAATATTTTGAACGGGAAACCAGTAGTAATAGCCCTTCATGTCCCTTAAGTGCTATTAAGAAGGTGAGTTTTGTTGATGTAAATAATACCGTATGATCGAAAAAAAATGGCGTCCAGTTGGCTGGGAAATGAAGATCGCTGTCATTTTGAATGTAAATTTATATGGGAAATGTCATCGATCGTCATTTCCCAGCCAACTGGACGCCATTTTTTTCGATCATACGGTATTTATGTTTATATATTTATAATTCATTTTTGTTTTCTAAAATATTTTGATTAAAAGAAAATATGTAAAGTGGGCCACGCTGTGCCGGTCAAGTTTAATCACGTGACTAAAAGTTTATTTGATATGAACTATAGATTTCTGAATACCTACCATCGTTTTCTGTATCCACCAAAGTCTCAGCATAGGGATTGCTCAAAAGCATGTCCAGTATGGTCATTCCCGACATATTGTCCACGGCAGTATGCAACGCGGTGTTGCCATGACCATCCAGATTGCGAATGTCAGCATGGCACTTCAACAGATGCGACACAAACTCCTCGTTTTTGCACAAAACGGCAATGTGCAATGGAGAATATAAGTCGGAGTTTCGAACGTTCGTCAGATGCCACTGTTTGGACAAGTAGATCATTTTCAGTAGGAAGACCAACTGTTCCTTTTTGTTCAAACCCACGAACACGTGAAGAGCACTAGAAACGAGAATAAAAAAATATGTATATGGTGTGTAACATAAACATAAACAATACGATGCAAAGGAACTTTTTCCACTATTTATTCTTCAAAAAGAAATGAAAATTTATTGTTTTATAAGTTATTTATTAGGCTTTCTTTATGGATACAACTAACTACCGCCAACCTGTTGCTAGGATATTCCATTAATTTTAATTGTATTTTTTTGGACATTGCGAATGATCGTAATTTTTAAAACATATAAAGTATAATCGAAACCACCGATTTATTGTACTAATTTGGAGGTTATGAATGAGGCTTTACTCACTTAGTTTTCTTGTCAGTCCCCAAATAGTGATGCAATACATCCGGAGCCCTCTCTTGGGCGTCTTCAGACTTAACAAAACTCTTCAATTCGCTGTAAGTTCCGTCTGCCATCACTATATCTTCGGGTAAAACCTCCATTTTGATCAGCTTGTCAGGTCTAAAAATCATCAATTAATTAATTGATCACCAAATTGAGTGATCACCCAGTATCCACCCAATATCACAGTAGTCACACAAATAGTCGAATTCATAAATATGAATATTTTAAACACCCTGTACCAAAATAGGCTAATACAATTAAAAAATGTTAATCCGCCACATTATTTTGAAGCACCCTGTATACTGACAAATATTAAATTGTGTATCTTAACATTCCCAAAACTTTTCTATTTAATTTTTTTTTTCGTAATTGTAAAAGCAAGCCAGAAACAAACTTTACTCTACCGTTGTTTCACCCTGTACTGGTCTAAAGACGGTTCAGCGATCGTTCAATGTTACGTCATATATTGTTATACATCATACTCACATAACAACCAGATGAAAGAGCTTATTGACTTAATTACGGCATTTCGTAAATTTCTGCACACTGTTACTGTTTTTATATTTGGTTATTATTATTCTGTTAATTTTTAAATTGTTTTAATCTTTTTATTTATCTTAAATTCAAAAAAAGGTCCTTCTTTGAACTTTTATTTCTGAAATATACAGCTGTTGCCACAACAGAGGTCCAACGATGAGCTGGCAGAGCCGCAGAGAGACTAAAGTAACAATAAGAACTGATCTCAAACATCCTGAACTTGTTAAAGTAAAATCTACGCTATCAAAAGATGCGGACAACTTATCTTAGATAGGAACTATTGGAAACAAGAAAAATCCACCTTATCCGGTAGTCAAGCAGCAGTAAAAGCGATCAATTCAGTAACATTAATTCCAAGTTGAACTTCCCAAGGGGAAACCAATTTAAAGCGGAACTCAAGAACCTGGAAGACTCCATCCGTAACCTGGAATGGGAATCATCCAACGATCTAAGACACTCGAAGAAATTTCCCACAACCTACGACCGATAAAAATCAAAGATTTTCTTTGATTTTTCCTCCCCCCCTCCCATACAATCTACACACCCTAAAACGTATGAGTATCGTTGAATGATCGCAAAAACAGTCTATACACTTTTTACTTACACTGAATTGGTTAGGCTATAGTTTCTTTTGCGGGTGACGCTTAAACCATCTCTGACATTGCTCAGGAAGTCTCCTTCGGGATATTCAGCTTCAAACAAATTATACATCTCGGTAAATTCATCGGAATTTACATCTTTTATCGCGTTGAGAAATTGTTCGGAATTGTGGAAAATTCCACTGTTCCAACTATTAGGCAAATCAGGATAAGTACCTATGGGATCCGCCATGTTGGGCACAGTAAGTGGTATTTCTGTGCTACCCAAACTACAACAAAAATTATAGATACATTTAAAACTATATTGGTACCATAGACATGAATAAGCTTGGTGAATTTCAACCGATTTTTAAATTTCGACAGCAGCGCTCGGTACGGCAGAAAACAGAACTGACTAACTTTATTTCACGCTGTCCCGGTTGCCGGTCATGTTGACCGCATTGAAATATTATTGAAATCGTGGCTATGTCGTAATATTTAAGTACTTTGATTTTTACTAGTGCACTTATTGAAACTATAAAATTATCAAGTACGAAGTTTGTGTAATGTAACGCTGTTTCAGGTAGTAAAAATTCAGTGAAAAGGAACCCGAACTGGGCGGCACGTCGTGATAATTTCAAATGATAATAAAATTGCCCCAAAAATGTACAAAAGGACGGCGTGATTGCTTCGTTATTGGGTGCAATAACACTCAATACAACTCTCTCGGAACATTATACAGCCTCCCAGCTTTATCACACCAATCTGATCAAAGCATAAATGGTTTCAGGCAGTTCGCCGAGACAAGTGAGTAAACAAAGTGCCCGTTACATAATCAAAAAATTAAATAGGCATATACTAACTATGAAAGGATGAAATATAATTGGCAATATTAATGGTATACTTCTTTTTAATCAACTAGTTACTTACATTTTTTATGAACGTCTTCTAAAATTATAATTATGTACCTTTTAAAAATTTCATTACAGTCTAGATAGCCCCAGTTTGTGCCAACTAGCAAAACCGGTGTTCGCTACCACAGTTGAAGCAATCGGCGTGTTATTACTCATCAAAGTTTTATTAGTTGAAATAATAAATAATAATGCACATTAGACCTTCTGAAGATATAAAAGATTCCATGTTTTTAGAATTTTCACAAGTTACACTTAAAATAATACAATAAAACCTCGTAAAATATAAATATTTTACGAGGCTCTTCGATGGTGGCAGCACAGTCGGAGAATACACCAAGCCTATATAATAGGGATCCACTAGACCTACTATAAAATATAATTTTAAACACTTCAGGAGTGGATAAAACTCTCGTTATTGTATGATCGTGGATAAGTAATATTTCTATACTTTACCTAGAACTGTTATAGCTATTAGAGCTGTAAATACTAGACCTAGGTCTCTTAGTACCAGGTTTAAATTCATTGTTGGGCACGTATCGAAATTCTTTCGATTCGCTTCTGGCATTATCCGACGGTCGTACTAGTTCCATAAACACGTTTATTGGTTGGTTGACGTCGGACGGTCCTTTGTAGGGAGGAGTCCTTTAAAAAATAAGTTCCCATATACAGGGTGAACCAGCCAGCGTTCCGAAAAAGTTCTATATCAGGTTTGTGGTTTGACATTTTCAATCCAAAGTTTTGTTAATTTTCAAAAAAAAATCAGTAAATTACGGCTCTAGATACGGGAACTGCTTAATAAAACGAAGTGATTAAACAAAACTCTGTCCGTTTGTGATACAAAATACAGGGTATTTGGTTTGAAATATTGTAGAGAAAATTGAAGGGTCCAGGGTAAGAACTTGATAAGCGCCAATTACATAATTTTAGGATTTTACAATATTATAGTAAATCTAACTGATCCCTACAAAATGTATAAACTCTGCAGGGCAATAAGTTCTTAAATCCTACGATATGTCTAGTAAAAATATAGAATACACGGAAAGAACCTGATAACCACCAGCCATTCAATAAAATTAGTAAAATGGCGTTTATCATGTTTTTCCCTTGGACCCTTCAATTATAAGCTGTAGTTTTGACTTACTCTGTAAATATCAAACAACGTTGTATATTCTAGTGGATTGGATTTTGAAAAAGACATTATTGTATCGTACTTGCTAAAAAAATTGTGGATTTTACCATTGGGAGAGCCTTAAATAAGCATCAAATTAAGTATTGTATGACATTACAGTATTTTTGGAATGGGTATTAATTGCAAATACATTGAGCTAAAAAAAAGTAAATTATTTTGCAATATACAACTTTAGTTAAAAATTATCTTTGAAACGCCCTGTATATTGACATTTTTTTACAAATATGCGCTGTAATTGCTCTCATATATCGATTGCTCTCCATTTTGCTGCTAAAACTAATCTGCATGAGGCCTACTTTCTTTACGCGGAATGCGAACCGCGGTCCTCGGCCATATCATTGTCAATGACCTACAGACTTGGCGAGTGTATAAATCGTCGCTTACTCACAAGATATCCGATCTCATCTGGCTTCAAACAGGCGTGAATAAGCAGTGTGTGTCAATAGATTTTACACTCTTGCCATGTAACAACAGAACGACAGTTTCTAGACGATCACCCGTCTATCCATTCGCATTGTCTAACGTCGCTTAACTTCGGTAATATACCAGGAATCGGTATTATGGCGTAGCTGGGCCGTTGCTCTACATATTATAAAATAAGATGAGAAACCTGATACAGACCTATTTCGCAATGCAGTAGTGAAAAAACTAACACCAGAAGAACTATATCTTACTTGAAAACGATAGCATATTGATGATGAACATCGAGTTCACTAAACTTGCCCCATCCTTCCCATATCTCCTGTTCGTCGTCGTCAAGTTGGTAGAATCGAATTTTTATATTTTCTACAAAATTCACCAAAAAAAAGATATGTTTATAGTAGATAGTTCACGTATTGTAATCGCAAAACATTTTCCGATGCACGTCATCAATCATATCGACATTAACACTAAAATCTATAAACCTGACTAAATGAAATGTTGGCCAAAATGTTTAAATTTGTAGTATAATTTAAGATACCGAGCAGCTCTTCATTTTACTTTATAGAGCAAAGGATTGTAACAGATATTTTATTTAGATTAATGCTGCAAAAATTAGTTTAAACCGAATTTTATTATCGCTATGTTGGTCACATTGCGCCGTGTTCAGCAATGTTGTCCTTTATTATTTGACAATTATCCTAGTGTCACTCATTATTTTGTATAATATCGTGTTGTTGTTGAATCTTTGAGATATTCTCGTTTTTTTGCCTATTTTCATAGTCTTTTTTAAAAATTGTACTTTTAAGCACAAACAGTTCCTTTAAGAACTAAATTTTCGAGTTTTTGTATTGCGTTTCTTGAAATTGTGTGTTGAAAATATGCCGAAGCATTTAAACAGTCGAAGCAAAGAGCTTGTAGCTTCCCTGTTTTTTAAAACTATTTTGTAGTAAAGGTCCTTTATTACCCTTAACTGCAATCACAGAAAAGTAAGTTTGATTCATAAGCACATTATACCACTTTCAAAGTTAGTTTTTATTAAATTCTGTGATTATTAGTTTGTGCATTAATAGCACCCTCTTACTTGTTATTACCACTTATGGCGTTGTAAGATGTACATCAATAAATAAATAACCCATAATAACGCTTATAATAATCTTCATGATGGTCTATCAATTAATCACTAAAATATTACTTATTAAAATAAATATAAAACGTAACACTCTTTAAACTTTAAAAAATTATATAATAAATATGTTGTTTGTCAATTTAAGAATGCTGATTTGCTAATTTGCCTGATGCTTCCAAAACCAAAGCAGGGACAGGGATAGGAGTATTTGGGCCAAAAACTGAATACTCCGAATCAATGGGCACCTACCCCAGTATCCTTCAGGCAGAAATTTGCGCAATCGAAAGATGCGTACAATTTATCTTAGATAGGAACTATCGAAAACAGGAAATTGCCATCCTATCCGATAGTCAAGCAGCACTTAACGCGATCAACTCAGTAACCATCAATTCGAAGTTGGTCAAAGAATGCCTAGAGAAGCTCAACAAATTAGGCAAAGAAAATAAAGTCCTCCTACTCTGGGTGCCTGCTCACCAAGGGATAGAAGGCAATGAAAAAGCAAATGATCTAGCTAGAAAAGGAGCGAACACTCCACTAATTGGACCAGAACCGTTCTGTTTTCCAAACGGGAACCAACTGAAAGCGGAACTGAAGAATCTGGAAGACTCCATCCGTAACTTGGAATGGGTGTCCTCCAACGGTCTAAGACACTCGAAAAAGTTCCTCAGAACTTATGACCGAGAAAAATCAAAGGTTTTCCTTGATTTAATTAAAAACAATCTTCGGATTGTCACGGGCTTTCTAACAGGACACTGTCTCCTCAACGAACAGCTCAGTAGGCAGAAACTGAGAAACAACGGCGAATGCAGATTTTGTGGGGAAAATGGGGAAACACCAGAACACCTTAATACTGAGTGCGCCGAGACGACGACCACTCATGCCATGAACCTTGGTACGTCTGATGTCGAGGATGGAGAGCTGGCCTCTGTGGAGCCGTCTCAGATACTGGCTTTTCTTAAAGCCCTGAGACTGTATGATGAGTTATAACTCATTATAACTCAAGAAAGGGGAACACACAATAGATCTATAAGGTCGCGGTGATTAACTCCCCTCCTAAACATTCTACATTCTTGTCAATTTAAAATTTAATAAATTAAGATTCAAATCCATCACAACCTGGCAGCGCTGTCGCCATCGCTTGTCACTCAAAGTTGATCACGTGCAGGGCCGAGCCGTCCATGTGTGCGAAGTGTGCGGCGCACACAGGCGCCAAAGCAATAGGGGTGCCCGCGCCGGCGTCGTGCCGCATGAAATACCAGCTCCATTTAATTTTCCAAAATTAACTACTAAAATCCAAAACAAAATAATTAATTTATTCAGTAACCATATTCAAAATTTTATTTCGAATATATTTATATCGAATTAATAAATATTTTTCAAATTTACCTAGAGCAAATTTGCAACATCGTGAGATTTGTCAATTTTAATACAGAAACTAAAAAGTTTAAAATAGGCATTTTCTAGCGTTCTGTACGATTATGTACAGTACATCTGCTGGATCTGTGTCTATGAAAGGAATGCGGACAAAAAACATTTAAATAAACAGCAATATATTTTATACGTCGATTTGACGAGTGCGTCACCGCAAATCGCTCCGCCCACTCATTTTATTGGCTACTTGCAAACTTGTTGAATTTTTATTGATGGGACGCGTCGTCTATTTTTTTACGAAAAACATGGAGAGAATATCGTTTCCCCTCTCACGGATACCCCGTAGCTACAGAATAGACAGACAGTGGCGCGCTGGCTTACCTTCATTTATAATCGTAGAAAAGTGCCAACCTTAATTATTACATAACTAGAATTTTTAGCATTGTGCAAGAATTATATAAATATTTTTCGTTCTCTACCAAAAGATGGTATTTATTAAAAAAATATATTCTAAATCTAACCTTACAACCATTATTCGAAAACAAATGGTCAAGCCAAATGAAAATAAAACAAAAATTGGTATACAAATTTATCCCAAATTTATGTTTAATAGGTATGAGATATGAAATGGTACCTACATCATTCGATCAGAAGGAAAAATATAACGCTAAATGTTTATTATAGTTGGGGGTTTAGAGCCTTTGGTGTTACAACAGCAAAATCAAACACTACACAGTACACCAAAACACTTTACTTTTGCACTGGACGCGTCAGTTTTAATCATCTGCTAATGATGCTAACATGGTTAGCGAAAGGCTCGCTCAGTGCAAATGTAAAATGTTGTATGTATTGTGGCGAATTAGTCTTTTATTTTGCTGCTAAATATCTAGCAGAAAAAAATATGTACTTTATCATTTATTTGTTCACTAAATGTACGCATAGCATATAGTATTGGCAAAAGTACATTTTGTGGAAACAAGTCCATCAATATGAATATGCAAGTAGCTTTAGATGCTTAAACAGAATTAAAGAAGTTTTGACAGAAATTAGAATCGACAAAAATTTTATAAATGATGCCATGAAAATTGCCGAAAAATCAGATTTCGAAGCTGAATTTTAAACTTTCTGAACCAGACCCCTTAGAGGTCGTAAAACTCCAACGAGTGTTGATTATGAACACGATGGCAGTACTATAGTAGTAATTGACAAGCGGAAGCGAACCGTTTTTAACTACATATTTAGATAAATACTATATACTATATCTAAAAATTGGCGCCGGGAAGCACGTATAGCCGCCCATACTAAAATATGTTAATATCTCGAAAACTGCAACTTTGACTGATTTTGATGTTATTACAAATTTTGTTGCAAATGTTATTCCTAATCTTAATTTGAAAACCGCGTTTCGCTAGCTACTGTAATTTTGGAGTTACGATTTTTTAAAATTTTTAACCCCCTCCCATACCCCCTTACCAACCCCCCACCCCTACCAAAAACTAATGGCCAGATTCTCGGGTGCCACAGTATTTTTGTGCCAAATTTGGTTAAAATCGGTTCAGCGGTTTTTGAGTTATCGTGTTACAGACGGACAGACGGACAGACAGACAGACACCATGAAAATATTTTGTATTTAAGTCATTTATGACCCAAGTAACTCATTTTGAGTGCAATTAAAAAAACTTTTTTTTTGCCGATCCTAATAGCCTACCATACCTATTGGTATGGTCGGCAAAAAATTATATAAAACTGGAGAACATATTTCAGTCCAAATTTTAAAAATAAAAAAAATAGTGTCGAATAACGATGACAAAAAAGGCGCTTCATAGGTTTCGCACACAGGCGCTGCCAGGGGTCGGCGCGCCCCTGATCACGTGCATCAGAAATTGTTTTGCGATTACCATATGAGTCGAATTATTGAAATAATGTTGTTACTTTTTGGGTGCTCCAAGTTTTAAGCAAATTTTTATTTAATATTAGAAATTTAATTTAATAATAATTTTTCGATTGCTCTATATAAATAAATTTTAACTTACTTTTTGTAACGCGTTCTACTAACAAGAATATTTCTTTGCCTCCTCTGACCTGACTGGTGCAGTGATCCATCCTCACGATCTTCAAATCGCCAGTCAACGCACATTCTATACAGAATAAAAAAAAATAGATTACAATAAAGTATGTCCAACAAGAGAATGAAGAATTTTGACACATGATATCTTAAAATTGACAGATAAACTTGAATTAAAATGCCAGACATCCATTCTATCTTCTATCGTTCGACAAACTATACCTACTATATAAGGCCTTACAATGATAAAATCATATACTTTTAAAAATAGAGAGTTTATTATGAATCTGAGGCATTGCTTATCATTGTTTTTTTTTCAATTTTGCTACGTGACTCACTTTACATGAAAAATAATTTTTACCGAGAAATTCATTCTTGTGATATCAGAAAATAGTAATGACTTAATCGTTGCAAATTACTTTATTTAATTTACTTCCCTTATCAGATATACAAACAAGCATGCTTTATTTTATCAGAATACATTGCTGTTCATACTAGACAAAATTAATTTTAAATATGACTAAGTTCTCAAAAAATAATTTGGTATCAATCAAATTTGTTATAACAATATACTACAAATATTCAAATGAAATTCAAATGTGAAACGTCAAACAAAACTATATATATATATATATATATATATATATATATATAACAAAAGGAAGTGACGTACTTCCGTCTCTAACACATGAATATAAATAAGTATTAGGTTACTTCCTTAAGTCTTCTTATTCAATGTTCCGAATATTGTACAGGGTGTCCCATTTTCATGTGTTTTGCGGGGTTTCTCGTTTATGAGTAGAGGTACAAAGATGTTCTTTGTTTTTTTTCACATCACTGTGCTACTTTCATATACACACAGATTTGTCCTAGCCCTAAAAGATGAAATTTGTCCTAGACTTAGTTCCTGAAGAGTTTTTTTTCATTCCCACTGAAATTAGCGAGTAGTATATCTAATAACCAAAATTTGACGTAGAATAAATTATTCAATTGTTTTGATTACTTAATATAAACCGACCGCCTATGTTACAAAGTTAAATAATGCACTTCTTATCTTGTTTATGAAAGTAGTAAAGAACAGAGTATATTTTTAGAAAGTTCATTAAAAGGCAAATAAAAAATTATATACAGGATATCCCATTTAAAAAAAACAATAATTTGAGCCATATTTTGAAAATGAGTGATCTCGTCCAAAAACTAGTTACGCCACTGGAGTCTACGTAAAAAACTCTAAGGGCCTCAGTTTTCGCCTTTTAATTATGTTATAAGATAACCGAGATACAAAGAGGGTCAAAAATGCAACATTTAATATTCGCGATGTATTTTTGGAATTTGGACTAGGACAAGAATAAATCTGTGTGTAGCATCTGTAGTTTCATCAAAAACTAACAGAGTAATGTGAAAGCCGCATTTTTCTCTCTCTCTACTCATAAACGAGAAACGAGAAACCCTGTAAAACACACAAAAATGGGACATTTTGTACAATATTAAAATATTAAACATAACCTCAAAATATATCACAAAAATAGTTAGAAGAAAACTTACCACGGCATATAAATCACACGGCAGGCCAACTCGCTTTGGCGGGAACGCTACGCGCATATCCTAGCGCACGCCGCCATTATGGGTGCCAGCAACAGAAATTAACCAGTGTCGTAGTCAGTCGTAGTCTTTGTCATCGAGACATACAGTTACGGCAGCTTTGAGTCAGTAGCGTGCGGCTTAATTTATTTCATTCTTTTTTTGAGTGATATTTTTTATTTTTGTTTATTGTGTGTGATATATTTGGTTTTTGTAGTTTAGTAGTACAATGGAAGTCCGAAATTCTTTTAGTTTCACTAAATACTCAATCATTGCCTACGGCATTCAAAGTAATTTTTATTATTAGGTATCCTGCAAAATGACAAACAAGATACATTTCTAAATTAATGTTTTTCTGATTATCCGTATCTATTTTTAATTTTTATGGATAGCTCATGACAATTCAGAGAGAAAAGAACAGAGGTCTCGTTGTTTTTCATAATAATGTTACGGATTCCGACGTAAATAAGGTCTGCCGTTTTTAATAAGATGTTTGCCAGATCATTTTGGCAATTTTCAGTACCCGTGTGTAATATTTGGACACAAAGTTTTTTATATGTTCTTCTAAACTGGATGAATTTATCCTGGATGGGAATAATGATAGGTTTACGAGATATTGGAATTACAAGAATTACAGGAATTACAAGATAAAGTTGTCGTACCAGATTTTTATGAGTGCAACTGTACACTCAAATCTCGCATCTCGGGACAAGCTTTTATATAATATAAAATTCTGTAATAACGTTATAAGTCCATAATAAAAGTTTATTTTTTTAATGTATTTAAATAAAACCTTGTTTTTAAAAAGTTTTTTTTCTTAAATTTATTTTTTACTTTTTAGTTATGCTGGTTTCTCAGAGCCACACACTTAAACTCAATTCTTTTTCTTAAATAACTTCCTATGGGCATCCTAATAATATGTATATAGATTTTCATTAAAAAAGGAGACCTTAAAAAAACGACAGATGTCAAATTTGACAGTTCAAATGTGAGACAAATAAAATGAAAACCGACTATGAGGTAGGGAGCATCCAATATATCGATTTTTATCAAAATCGGACAACTTTGAGATTTTTTTGACAGCTGTCAAATTTGACAGCTCAATTTTTTTTATTTCATTTTAACCCATGGCCATCCTATATATAGATTTTTATCAAAATCGGACAACTTTAAAATTTTTTTGACAGCTGTCAAAAATTCGGGTCATACCTTGCAAGAAAATGTATTGTCATCGGGACTGAACCTACATGCCAAATTTCAATTTCCTACAATGAAAGGAAGTGCTTCTAAAGATTTGCCCCGAACAAACATACATACAAAGCAAAGTTAAATAAAAGCTTGTAAAATAAGCTAGGGACTGCTTTCCATTGGTAGAGATGTCTCTTACCATAACAACATTAGACACCCGAGCTGGTTTAAACTCTCTGTTCCCCTTCTGGTCCTCAAAACCTACAATATTATCACGACCACTATTATAAAATAAATTGCACTTGATGATATTATTATTATATTATGATGAATATTAACAAAATTTGCTATGTCCATTGATGGACATAATTTGTACGTAGCCTCTTTAGATTGTTCAATAGATATTTTATTGGGTATTTCTTTAATTTCTTGTTTGTAACTCCTGGCATGTTTTTTAATTTTAATTGTCTATTCTCTATAGTTAAATGGTTAATTGATTTTTTCATTGTTACTTTTCGAAGAGTATGCGCGGTTAACGATTCATTTGGTTAGATAACAGTATTGTGTAAATAAAATTCAGTTTGTCAATTACAGTATTTGTTTGAATACGACCCTGTCTATCAATAGTTTATTTTCTGGGAAATTTTTTGATACGTTTTAATCCGGCCCTGACTCGGCACCCATAATGGTGTTTTCAAGGTCAAATTTTATAGAAATTTAAAACAATGGGATCTGGGCAGAGTTAGCCTGCCGTGTGATTTATATGCCGTGAACTTACCATACAGGACACAACTAGCGACAAATCAAACATGCTTTAACAATATACTTACTCAGGTTATTGATTCCATGACTAAATATTGGTTCACATATGGGTCTGTAAATGCCATCCCTGACAATAAACGCATCAAATCTAAGGCACACTATATTCAAATTAATAGATTTGCTCTCTTGTTCAGCCAATCTCTTAATCTGAAAGGTTTTGGGTTAAAAACGGTACCTTATATAGCAACAGGGTAAACACAGTCAGATAGCTCCCAGATAGAACATATATTCCTTGCATGAAAGCTATCCGCTTGTATTTAGATTTACAAGCAAATATTCTAGCAAAGAGTTGGTTTAATATACCTTCCTGATGGGATTCTGGATAACTATTATCCATCACAACTAGAACACAAGAAATAAATAAATAAATATCATTGATTTACATCACAAGGTTAAAGCCCCTTTGAGCTCAAAACTTTAAATACGCCCAGAGAAAGAATTACAATTGAGGCATTTTCCGTGATTTAAGTGAAGTAAACCTTAATTAAATTTACCTTTATTTTAATCGCAGAAACTAAAAATAACTTACGATCAGAAAAAACGACGTCAATAACGGCTGGGGAATGACGATGATAATTTTGACGAAGTCAAGCTCTAGATGTCATTACTTAACCCGTACTCTTCTTTGTTTCTTAATGGCGCTTACTGCTACTTGGCTTTAAAAAGGTTGTAATTTATTTTTATATTGAGTAAAAATGATTTTGAAATGGTGTAGTTTAAAAATTCGAGAAAAATATTTTTTTTGGAAATAGATTTTAGAATCACCTATCCTTTTTTAATCTTCCAGAGTTTTATGTCAATTTTTAGTAATAGACATAAAGATTGACCAACCCAAATTAATTATCATCGTTATTCCGCAGCCGTCTATGACGCCGTTTCTTTTTCAATTATACGGTATACAATAATGTTGCTTTAAAAGATAGAATTTTGATATTATTAGGGACACTGCGCTTTTAAAAACATTTTTAAATTGTAACTCTAGTACTCAACTGCTCCACTATTTATAATTTTTAAAAAATTAAAAGTTTACCTAGGTACAATACTATTTAAAATAAGCAAATTAGTAAACCGGAACTAGCTGTCAATAATTCAAAAATTTTTTTTTTGAAAATTCAAAATTCAAAAGTACTTTATTGTTAAAAAATATATAAATTTTTGTAAACAAAGCATTTTCCTAAATCTAAACCTAAAATACTTATTGCCAGCAAATTTAAACCTCAAAAAACAGTTCCATCAAAAGCAAACAAATGCGTGTAAATATAAAAAACAAAAAAATAAAAAAAAATATTTTAAAAAGAAAGTACACCTCGAAATATACCGGGTGCGTCTTAAAAGTGGCTCACCCCTATAACTTTTTTATTTTTTCAAATAAAAAAAACGAGATTTGGTATATTATTATATGACATAAATTAGGATTGATTGACGTATTCAATTGTTTTCGGTCACTTCAGGTTTCGCCGGAAATGACTACCACTTTTGATTTTTATATGACATCCTCTGTATTTTTTTACTTTATTCGATAGAAAATGACACTCTGAATAGAATAACATATCATACGTCAAATTTTGACAGTCTCGCTTGAAAAAAAGAATTGTATTTTAAATTTCAATTTAGAGCGCCATGGTTGTGTTTGGTTTAACACTAATTTTTATATTGTGGCTCATTAGCATATTTGGAAAAAGCATTTTTTTACGAAAAATTTGGTACCACACACTTGGTATTTCGATTTAAATTGTCGTTATGAACCTCATGTTACAATTTTGTGCGAAACCATATGCGAAAATGTCAAAAGTTGATCTATGTTATATCATTTTATCAGATTGTCATTTTCTATTGAATAAAGTAAAAAAATACCAAGGGTGCCATTTAAAAATCAAAAGTTGTAGTCATTTCCGTTGAAACAGGAAGTGACCGAAACCAACTGAATACGTCCAATCAATCCTAATTTATGTCATATACCTAACATACCAAATCTCGTTTTTTTATCTGAAAAAATAAAAAAGTTATAGGGGGTGAGCCTCTTTTGAAACGCACCCGGTATATTTTTTTAAAAACCAAACGAGTCCATAAATTTTTAAGTTGCTTTAATATTTAAATGTTACGAATTATATAAAATTAAATCTGCAAAATATTCAAATATAAAAAAATAATAATTTGCTTACATACCTTCTGCAATCATCTCTAATAACACATGCTTTGTATACACATTAGACACAGCCATCGCATAATAAGTAGGTGTTAGTATATAAGTAAATGTTCACTTCCTTTTGAAAATAAAATCAATTTGATATATAAAGAATTAATATAAAACAAATGTATAGTTTTATTAACCTACTTCCTACACAAAATTATATCCCGAATTAATGTCCGCTAAATGAACTTTTTATCACGACTGAAATTTATAAACAATAAATAATAGTAAATTTCTTGATGATAAGCCTTGACTTTCAGATAATTAAAATTAAAACTCGATAGTTTTGATAAAAATTACTAGGTACATATAATTATATTCCTCTCTAATAAAAAACCCAAAATTATTTTTTTTCTTTATTAATAATTTAAAAATAAAAATATTTAAATTTTCTAAATAAATACCGTATGATCGATAATATAAGGAAATGAAACAGTATCCACAAGATGTATAAAAATAGAAACAAATCTAAAGGCTTAAAAGTTAATAACACAAATCAATTAGTTTAACATAAAAATTAACAATTACTGCTTTTAAAATGATAATCACAGTCCCAGTTATCTCAAACGATTTCATAGAAATGTCTATTTAACTTACTTGGAATTGTTGTTAAATCTTTATCAATTAATTCCATGACGAATATAAAGGTCGCTGTCAAATATTTAAAAAAACAATGGTCCTGCAACCGCAACCAGTAAAACACACAAAACTAACGTTTAATCTATAGCTACCGAATGATACTTCAGTTTTCTATTATCTTATTATGATTTGTCTAATGTTATGCTAGATCCTTAAATCATACAGTACGTCTACCCTTTCTGTAGCTACGGGGCATCCGTAAGGAGGGAAACCATATTCTCTCGACGTTTCTCTTAAAAAATTAGACGACGCGTCCCATCGATAAAAATTCGACAAATTTGCAAGTAGCCAATGAAATGAGTAGGCGGAGTGTTTTGCGGTGACTAACTTCTTTTTAGGTAGCGATTTATAAAATATATTGCTGTTTATTTAAATGTTTTTGTCCGCAATCCTTTCATAGACACAGATCCAGTAGACGTACTTTACTATACTGTCAATAAGTAAATAACTAATACCTTTGCTAATACACACGCAGTACTGCTACTCTATCTATCCTTGGTCAATAACTATATATACAACTATTAAATAAACATAAAATTAACTTCTAACTGAACACTTGCATCCTTTGCAATCTTTGAATAAAAAGATTAAGGAAGGAGCATACCAAAAATATTAGATTGACCGCGACGGGACTCTAAAATGGCCGATTTAAATTCGAGTTTATCAGTGCCGTTCTAATATTATTCAAAACGTGTAAAAATATGAGTAGGGTAGACGTGGGGTAGACTCAATAATTGTTTGTTTTCAATAAATGTTGGTAGTTATTAAAAAATATATAATTCTAATAAAAATAAATAAGTTATGGTGTTGATCTATCCACCTAAGTATGCTCGGCATTTCTGGTCTTGGGTGCCGGTTTTCATGTGTACGAAGAGTACGGTCAACACGCTTAGTAAAATAAGATGTACTGAATAAAGACAGAAGGCGAGTATTTTCCCAAGCGCATGGAATCTAGCATCAGATTAAGTAGTTATGTAATAAATACTTCGTATTTTTGCTCACTCCGACTTACTAGATTGCCATAACGACTCACTCCTATACATGTAAACGCCGACCTAAAGGTTCGCTTGCCAGCAGGGTATATAGTTCAGTCATTGGGGATTTTTGCTTGGAAAAAAGTCCGGAAGTTTTGCAACTTTGCAAGTTTATAACCTGGCGCCATTTTGGGCGTCATCTTGGCAAGATGGCGGCGCCGGCGGCAAGCAAATACGTTTAAATAAAATAAATGACGGCCTCCCCATAAGAGCAATGAGAGGATTTACGTCCCAGTATTGAAAGAGGACAGAAAATCGAGTCGAATGGTTTCAAGACATAGGTTCATCCTTGTTTAGTCAAACCTCCTACAACACAAGGATAGACTTATGTAGGAAATGCATTGAAATTCTATAGCCATCCTTCAATATCGGGACAGGAATTTAAGCGGTACCCTCCGTATACTTTATTTTAAACGTATTTGGCGGCAAGTCTGGAAATGTGCATTTTATGGATTTTAGTTAGGGACCCCAAAACCTATAAGCCTGCAAAGTTTCAAAACTTCCAGACTTTTTTCCAAGCAGGTCCCTTTTTTTTGATCCCCAATGACTGAACTAATAATCTAGGGACATTATACACAAAAAATATTTAGAATTTCATGTAAAATTAAAAAATGAACAAATATATAGGGTGTGCTAAAAAGCCCTGTTTAAAGGAAGTTTTAAAATGGTTCTTACTTTTCCTATTGCTTTGCTAGAATATTTGCTTGAATGAAAAATATCCATACCTCAGTGATTTCTTGCATGTTCAGTCCTCTCCTTTGTTGGTACATTCTGCCAATAAGTTCTTCTTGCAATTTCGTTTTCTTCCTAACCAATTCATTCACAATATTCTTTCTTGCAGTGTGGATTATGCCCATGCTATGAAATCTACAAAGCAAATCAAAATGACTGAAATTAGTTGGATATTCTGATTTGGCTCATTTAGTTTTCAGACACAACTGTCAGCGTATACCCTTATTAGAGAGACTACAACCATAGATAAATGAAACAAGTTTAGATTGGAAAGTGCCCCTAAGGACAATGTAAACACTATTTGGCGCTATTCTTGCAACCATCGCGACCCAAAGCTTTTCAAAATTTCGGAGCGGTTCGGCTTTTTCCGGAATTATATCGCCAAATATTATTTATTCAAATTTATTATTTTCTTTTAATTTTATAAATAAAAAATACAGTGTGTTGCATACAAGAAACTTTATTTTATATAAGGACATGTATGAAATACCTGGACACAATGGAAACCGACGTTACACCACGATCCACGATGGTTTTTGCAATTCACAGTTCACAGCACAGCTTTTTAAGTTTTTAATGCAATTTTTCACAATTATCACGGGTTGGAGTAAATAAAACTTAAATTAAATTCACAAGATAGCAATAATTACTTTGAAAATGGAGGCTATAAACACTTTCCGGAATTTTTTCAATGAGAGCGTTTTAGATTTTGAAAAATTTTATTAATTTTTGAAGATTCTGACTTTGACAAGAGATATGGACAAGAGAAAATTATTTCTGTTTTTGTTTGCGGTTGTTTTCTTGGTTTTTAGCAACCGCTATAGCAGCGCAGGATCGCGTACAACGGTCGCGACCCAAAATTTTGACGGGCTTTCCAATCGAAACTTTTTTGTTTCATTTATCTATGACTATAACAGAACTAGCCTGTTAAATAACTGAAACAGCTAAAAATTAAAATGAAACTTACGTAGCAACAAACCCTTCCTCAGGACCAACTGTGATGTCATGTGGATCGTCGAATTCCTCTCTGCCGCGTTTCATAATCAAACGATGCGGATGCGGCTTCATATCTTCTTGTCCAACATTGTACTGATATATCGAACATCTAACTGTAGCCTTTTCTGTACAATGCTCCAACTAAAAACAATTTTTTAATAACAGACCAATGTCGAAAGAATAGAATGCAACCAAACCAAACCAAACGCGCATATACGGGCTGGAGCAAAATCTGTGATGTTAAAATATAGGATGCCATTCTATTGGTGCCAAAGGAGGTAACACCAGGGACAGGTTTAGCGATTTTTAATAGTTTGTTGTGTGTAGTGAACTTTGTATAAACTTTATTACAATGGTGATTTGTTCAAATTTCAAGTGTAAAATCCGCTGCCAAAAGAAAGTCAGGAATTACGTTTCATAGATATACAGGTTGTTAATTTGTTTATTACTCGCGGAAAGAGCTTTATGGTTGAAATACGGCAACCTCGGTCCGCTCGTCGAGAGACGACGCGACGGGAAGAGTCGGCAGCTTAGCTTAGTACTCATTTGGAATGTAGGCAGTGTTGCCATTCTGTTCCCCAATAAGTAACCGTCCAGTTAACAATCTGTATAAACAAAGATTTACAAGACATATTGGGCATAATGGGCATAATAGTCCATACTAGTTTTGTGCCGTTTGTGAACGTTTTAATACTTTTTTTCTTTAAATAACTGGCATAACTCCGGCAAAATTTTTGCGCAAAATATAAATAAATAAGGTTTATTTGTAACTGAATAAGTCTAATAATTCGTAACAGTAAGTATAATAGTAAATTATATTTTATCAGTGGCTTTCTATTTGTTACACGCGTTTAAAATATAAAATAGTCCTTGATTATTCGCTGGTTTGGTTTTGAGTTGAGTCAATGAATATTATTAGTTATTAAAATTTATTTGTTAATAAATGAATTGAAATCTCTAAACCACAAATGAATTTAAATGACTAATGAGTCATGTATAAATTAAGTAAAAAAAAGAATGTAATAACAAAGATTAATATGTGAATACCCTTTACCAAAGATGCTGATAAAGACAAAAATATTTTTTTAAACCAATAAGTAAAGAAGATAATCTTTAAAATGGTAAAAAAATGGTAAGTAAATCTTTTAAATGGCAAAGGGAAGGCATTGTGCCTGAAAACTTAATTGAGAGATATGGTACATATGGTAATACCTAGAGGTAATAAATATGATTGAAAAAAAACGGCGTCAGCGATGGCTATGAAAAAAAAATCGCTGTCATTTTATATATAAAATTATATGGAAAATGTCATCGATCGTCATTTCCAAGCCTACTTTTTCGATCGTACGATGTAATACTGTATGATTGAAAATGGCTGGAGAATGGCAATCGATGGTAATTTTGGCGAGGTCACCTCTAGACGTCATTTTCTAAAAATTGACATAAAACTTGTCAAAACATAACACTAATTATAGAAAGCTTAAAATAGGATAGAACATCTCCAGCCACACAAATCTATTTAAAAAAATCATTTTTACTCAAGATAAAAATAAATTACAATCTTCTTAATGCCAAATGGCAGTAAGCGCCATTACAAAATAAAGAAGAGTACGGGCCATGTAATGACGTCTAGGGCTTGACCTCGCCAAAATTATCACGGATTGTCATTCCCCAGCCGTATTTGACGCCGTTTTTTTCAATCGAATGGTATTATTAATATTGTTTCACTCTAATATGAATGAGAATAGTAATTGTGGTTTGTTTTAATCACAGATTTAATTAAATTAAACTCAAAATAGTATACGATCCCCGGAATAGTAGAAGATTCCCAGAAGTCCATGCTTTTAAACATACAGATAAAATGTTATAAAGTATGACGTCTGTCAATTTCTATCTCCAAAGTCTACAAAGTAAAAAATACATGAATGTATCCAGCTGCGTTGAAACATCGGTTCCGATGGATCACTGAAGTTAAGCGACGTTAGATAATGCGAGTGGATGGACGGATGTACGTCTGGAAACTATTTTGTGCTGTTGTTCCATGGCAAGAGTCCATGGCATCTATTGTCACATACTGCTCATTCTCGCCGGTTCGAGGCCGGATGAGATCGGACATCTCGTGAGTAAATTGGTAAGAGTCGATTTAGACACTCGCCAAGTCGGCAGACCATTGATCATATGGTCGAGGACCGCGGTTCGGATCTCACATAAACAAAGTAGTGCCCGTCCAGATTACCCTTCGCAAAAAACGAGACGTTACACACAAAGTTACACACCAATTTGAACCTTTTTTAGGTGAGGGTGCATCCACATCATCCCAGAAAAAGTGAAACTGCTTATCTGCGTAACGACCTTGAATCAATTTCCAGCAATTCTATTGGCTGAAATTTTTGACATATGAATTTTCGAAAAATTTCAACCAATAGAATTGCTGGAAATCGATACAAGGTCGTAACGCCGATACGCCGTTCCGCTTTTTCTAGGATAGTATGGATGCACCCTGAATCGGAAAGTTTTTATATTGAGTTGTTTGTTTATTTTGTTAAACTCTTAAACATATGTAAATAAATATAAGGCCATGAATAAACCTTGACATGCATGTTTTGTTATTAGAATTGTAAACAAACAATACGTACTCGTACAGTTGGATAAGTCTGTTTCCTCGACTTATCAGAATTTATGCCACAAAGACTTCCGTGTGTGCCCGCCATTTCCGACTTGTAGCGGAATCTGAATTTATTAATAGGCTGTTCAATAAACTTCAATCTTGGCGCTAAAAATAACTCGACTTAATAAACTGTCTTATTCGACACCATGCTTTGTTTACTTTTTTCTAACTTCATATCTCCCAAGTTCATCACATCCATATCTGGTATGGATATTTGCGTTTGCAGATGCGAGGGTGGCGAGAAGCTATTCGATCCTGGTGAAGCTACGAAGTACACTGGAGGAGAGTCCCCACTGCTCGAAGGAGGAGTTGGATATGTTTGCATATCTAGACAGAAAAATACAAAAACATTACTTTCATCTTAATACAGTGACATTAGTTAAAATGTTAGATATACCAGGACATAAAATTACAAACTCACTGGGTATAAAATCGGTAATGGGTGTCATAACGGTAGAATCACATAAAGGATCAACCAAAGGTTGTGCTATAGATAACATTTTGACAACACTGAATATAATTAATTATAGAATATTTGATCACAACCTTCCAAAAACTAGCAACCTGTGCTAGCAACGAACTGAAAACTGAAATGCGAAGAACTTACAAACCTGTCAACGGAAATATCTTCGTGAATTTGGTATTTCCCCATGCAACAAATTAATGGGCGTTTAGGGGGAAAGAGCGGTAAGGAAGTTTCAAGAAAAATCCCCGAATTCAATACGGGGTTCATCCACGAAACACGATCGAATACGCAAGCGCGGTAATTAATCACCTTGATTTATTCGATATTTGTCCGTACTTTATCGTTTTATCTCGCTTATCTCACCTCAAATAATTCTTTCACACATTTTTACAATTTATTTTGTTTGCAAAGGGATTATTTTATTTTCTAAAAATTTTGCGCAATCGTAAAAACCATAGATTAGATATGTCAGATTATGTCAGATTATATTTTCTTTGTACCATGGATTAGATAAGCTATACACCACAGAAGAAAAGAAAACTGGGTTACCGAAAACTGTACACTTTGCTGTACACACCACGGAGGTACTTGCGTGGTACAGGCAGGGTTCGGAAGTAGTTAATTAAGACGTAATTTACCTGATTAACTACGTGTAGTTTTTCTTCAAAAACTACGTCTTTTCACTTTTATTAACTACATGAAAACTACGTTAATAAACTATGTATTGATATTATGAATAATTTTCCTTTGTATGGGGTGTAATAGAAATAATTTGATGAAAATATTATATTTAAAGCCATATTTCTTCGTTTAATTTAATAATTACTAAACCAGCAGTTTCAAAAATATATTTAAAAATAATAATTATCTATTAACATGGATTTGGACCATAATAGGTAAGAATACTAAATTTATTTCTGTATTCGGTATAAAATTGTTTATTAGGTTTTTAGTTTGCGATGTTTATGGTAAATAATTTTTATGTTCATTGCCTCTGAATTCACATGAGGACAGAGATGAGGATATCTATGGAAAAGTAACCACAAGAGGAATTGTTACATCATTTAAAAAATGTTGGGAATTATATTGTTTCCCATCTAAAAATAGAAAATGCCAATGCAGATGAATGTATTGTAATTGTGATAGAAGTAATTCCAAGGGTGAAGTTTATTATAATTAGTGATCTGGTGCTTCTTTTTATATGTAGATGTTTCAGGTTTTGAGAATAAATCGGTTGAACGAAACCCAAAATTTAGAGGAAGTATTTGCATACCCAGAATATGCCCATCAAGGATTATATAGCTCAAATTTCCTTTGATCGTAGGCAATTATTCAAGGCAAATTAACTTTTTAAGTGACTGAAATATTAAATAGTTTACAATATGGTATATCACTGTAAAATATATTACTTTTAGGTACAATTAGGGCCAGATACATTTCAAAAAGTAGAATATTATTTTATATTAAATGAGGTATTGTACCAACAATCAATTTATATTAATACCGCAGATTAAAAAATAACAGAAGAAATAGTTCTTTCTTTTATACTACAAAAATAAACTATCGAATACAACAGTATTTAAAAAAAAAAGTTATGTCCCGCCGAGATTCGAACTCCGGTCTCTCGCTTCCTAGTCCAACTCCTTACGCACTGCTCCACAGTAACTTGCTTAGCGATAATTCAATGACGGTATATAAACAAAAAAACAGGTTTATAACAATACCTTGACGATTTGAACTGGCGCGCGGAGCGTGCTGACCAATAGCGCCTGTTATCACCTGTGACGTAGCGACCAACCTGCGCAATATCATACCTTGTATTCTTTGTACCATGGCTGTACACACCACGGAGGTACTTGCGTGGTACAGGTACACCACAGTGGTACACACGCAAGACACACGCTGCATTGCACGCTGCATGCTTTTAAGATAAAAAAAAAATTAACTTGCGTCACGGATTTATTTTTTGTTCACGCAGTAAATTACAGAAATTATAAAAAGAAGATTTTTCGTACATAACCACAAACGTCAGATATCCAAATAAGATCCCAATTATGTTTATTTTTCTATGAATTCTTTGTTTTCTTTTTAAATAATTTTCAAACAAGGAGACAAATACAAATAAAAATTAACCGAGTGTCGTGCTAGTATCTCTAGTCAAGGAAAAATATTGGAAAGCACTATGTCGACTGCTTTAATAACTGCAGATTGGTTCCTTTTAGGAAGAGACTCCTATTTTAGGTGAATAAATTTAATATAGTCTTTATATTTAATTAACATAATCTTGTTTAAAGAAAATTTGAAATATATTCAATGGAATGGCATCAAGAGATAAAGCTAGAGAATTTTATAATCTCGTCTGCGCCTTACGGAGGACCTATAGCTCTTAGGAGAGATGATCGAAAGCTTGTAAAAGTTCATGGAAGTGGTCAGCCAGTTATTTCAATATTTTCTGGTTCGGGAAGGTCAATTACGTCATTTAAGGTACATTGCAAGAGCCATTTGAGGTTTTTCAAACATAAAATATTAATTTTAGTGGGTTCAGAAACCAATAATTCATATGGGATGGTCAAATGACGAAAAGTTAATATGCATTCAAGAAGACGGAAGTGTTGTAATATACGACATGTTTGGCAAATTTGTCCATAAATTTAATATCTTTCAAAAAGTTCAAGATTCTAAAGTTGTCGATGCCAAAATCTTTACCAACACAAAAAACGTAACGGGTATTGCTGTTTTGAATTCTAATTATAAAGTTTTCATAGTTAACAGCCTGAAGGATATTAAAACTAGACAACTTAGTGATATACCTAGTAAGTTTTGAAGGAAAATTAATTTCAGATAAATTATTTTAAAAAAATAATTATAGAATCGGCTAGTGAACCAACATGTTGGGAAGTTGTATCTGAAGAATCTTCAACTGAGGTATTTCTAGCCAGAGATAAAGAGCTGTACAGATTAAAACAAGATGAACAACACACAAGTGCAATGGTATTTAATAAAAAATATATTTCAATCATCTATGTTTAATTTTATTTTTTACTTTTTAATTCTTTCTAGCTTCAGCCAGATATATCAAACCCTTACACAGCCATTTTAGAAATGGCTGTTTCATTAAACGCACGCCATATCTGTTTCTTTACTAATTCTGGTTACTTATGGCTTGGTTCAACCGATTTGAGAAATAAATACCATGAGTTTGAAACAGGAACCATTCATAGACCGAAACAATTAGTCTGGTAAGTAATTTTAACTTGTTTTTTATGTTCTTTAATTTTTTTCCTTTCTTTTTTTTAAATTTTTTTTTTGGTTATTTTTTTTTATTTTTTTGTATATTTTTTTTGTCGAATTTAAATAATATACAGGGTGGTCAAAAGAAAGTATGGCTAAATTCCAGGGGACGATTCCTTATCAAAAAAAATATGGAAAAAAGTTCTTATAAACATAGGCCTAGAAATCTTAAAGCCTCCGTAATTTTAAACATACAGGACGATCTTAAACTCTTTTTTTTGTAATTATCTTAAATATGCTGTAGTAGTGTTATTTTTAGTAATAATGGTCTAATTTAGCCCTAGTTAAATTAAGATTCTTATCTTCAGTGGCGTCATCAAATGTAAATAGTTTTGTCTCTTTTAAGTTAGATCTTTTTGATTTTTTACCATCCTGTATCTTTAAAATTCTACATCGAAACTCATGCTTATAAGAGCTTTTTTTCATACTTTTTGACGAGGACTCGCTCTCCCAAATTTGGCCGTGAATTTTTGGAACACCCTGTATATACATTTCCTATAGGTGTGGTAATGAGGCTGTTGTAACTTACTGGGAAAGAGACCACAGAGTTTTAATTGTCGGAAAAAACGGTTTGACTCACCAGTTCTATTACGATAGTGCCATTCATATCGTATCTGAGATCGACGGTATCAGGATAATATCTAGCGCCCACCATGAGCTGCTTCAGAAAGTACCCGATGTCCTTCAAAAGATTTTCAGAATAAACAGTATAGAACCTGGAAGTTTTCTGTTAGAAGCATCCAAACAATTCCAGGTACCTACAGAGTCATACAGGGTGATTCACAGCGATGGTATAGAAGGTTGCCAAGTCTCGAAGATGAATACCCGCTAGATTCGTATATTAAAAACCGCTAGAGGAGAGGCCGTATTGAAAGTGAAATTTTGCTTTGTCGTTTATTTTTGAACCTTTTGGCAAGGCTTTCGTCACGTGATAAAACGAATTTAGCGTGACTTTGAAGAATCGAGGCGATTTTAGACATAGGTACTTTAAAAGAATGCATCATAATTACACAATTATTGGTGCAAATTTTAAAAACAATCGTTTAGAATTTAAATAATTCCTTACTATAGGAAAATTATTAATAGTTGGCGTCGTAATGCACCTCGCAATGTTGCCACGGCTACCTTTTTTACTTTGACTTTTGACACGTGTCAAATAAAATTAGTAATTTTATCATCGGTTTTGCACTTAATTTTAGACATAATAGATATATAAATATTTTTTTATATCTACATTATTACTTTATCTATGATTATTACTCAAACAAATTCTAATTAAATGAGTTATTAGCAAGTTTTCTGAATGAAAGCTGAATGTAAAGTTCTAAATGGTTTCAATTGGTCTTCACTTTTTGTGAAATTCTACTCGCAGTCCGTAAACTATTATTGAGCACAGCTGAAACACGCTCAAAGATCTATGTGTTTTCAATAAAAGCCGCAAAACTTAAGCAACAATATCAATTTTTACCCCTCTAACGCAGTTTAACTGCAAATGGATCTTGCCACAAGTTGCTGAGTCTGACTGTTTAGTGGTTTTAACATTTTATTGCAGTAGGAATCGCATTTTTAACTATACAAAACACAGATTTAATTTCAAATTTGTCAAGGAAAAAATTAAGAATGAAAAATATCAGGTTTGCGAAGAATAATGTCATGACAACCTGCAACATTTGCCATAACTACCCACAAAAGTCTTTTTTATCCACCAATGCGGGTTTTTCGACTATTGTTAGTATTTTTCAAATTAAGCGACAACACTGTAACGCTGAAAATAATTTAGATAAATTGGAGCAGGTGCCTTTATGAAAAAATCGAAATTTTCAAAAAAATCCTATCACAGGTTTTCCATAAAGGTCTAACCTATCATCGCTGTTAATCACCCTATACCGGGTGCATCTCGAAAGTGGCTCACCCATATAACTTTTAAAAACAAGATTTGGTATGTTATTATATGACATAAATTAGGACTGATTGATGAATTCAATTGTTTTTGGTCACTTCCTGTTTCACCGGAAATGACTACAACTTTTGATTTTTAAATGGCACCCTCGGTATTTTTTACTTTATTCGATAGAAAATGACACTCTGAATAGAATGACATATCGTATGCCAACCTTGTGCCATGGATGTGCAAAAAACACTAATTTTTAATCAAGGAGCCTGGGAAAATTAGTTTTGATCGTCTTATGTTTTTCGTGTCTTGTCCTGATCAGTTAAAATATGTCCAAATCGTCTTTTTAATCAACTCAATTTTTAAACCATATGCGAAAATGTCAAAAGTTATCTATAAAATATGAAATGTTATTCTATTCAGAGTGTCGTTTTCTATCGCATAAACTAGAACTATACCGAGGGTGCCAATTATAAATCAAAATTGTAGTTATTTCCGGTGAAACAGGAAGTGACCAAAAACCAAAAAATTGAATACGTCAATCAGTCCTATTTTATGTCATATACTAACATACTAAATCTCGTTTTTTTATTTGAAAAAATAAAAAAGTTATAAAGGTGAGCCACTTTTGAGACGCACCCGGTATATGTTTATTAAACTATATTTAATAAAATGAAATAAATATATAGAAAAGGAGCCATAAAGCTAACGAGTATATATCCTTGGTGAAAAAAGATTTGGAAGAAGCTGTGAATCAATGTTTGGACGCTGTAGGTTATGAATTTAATACGGATATTCAGAAAATGCTTATCCGGGCTGCTCAGTTTGGGAAATGCTTCATCGCGGACATTAATTCAAATAAATACGTTAGAATGTGCCGCTTGTTGAGAGTCTTAAATGCAATTCGAGACCCGAAAGTCGGAATCCCCTTGACAATAGCTCAGTATCCTTTATTTAAGTGTTATTAAAAAAGAAAGGTGTGCCATACTAACAATACCATACGATCGAAAAATAAACGGCGTCAAAAATGACAACCGATAATAATTTTGGCGAGGTCAAGCTCTAGATCTAGATGCATTATTTGGCCCGTACTCTGCTTTATTTTTTAATGACGCTTACTGCCAGTTCGCCTTAAGAAGGTTCTGATATTGAGTCAACTTTAAAATTCCAGAAAAAATATTTTTTTGGAAATAGATTTGTTTGTCTGGAAACCTTCTATTCTTTTTAATCTCTCTTTAATTAGTGTTAATTTTTGACAACTTTTATGTCAATTTTTATTGTATATATATCATCGATTGTCCCTCCCAGCCTTCCTTGACGCCGTTTTTTTTTTCGATCATAGGGTATAATTATTATATCAAAAAATATAATAATTATTATATTATAAGAAATAAATAAATATGGTCCTTAATTATTGTTCAGATTGAAATACATGAGTTTGAGGGAAACCACCAGCAAAGATGATGACGAATCGTTGAGGAGCCTACTGGATCGATTGATAACAAGAAATTTGTATTTTCTTGCTTTGCAAATAGCTATCTACCTGAAAATGTCAAATAAGGATGGCAGTAGCTATATTCTAGTGCACTGGGCCAAATATAAGGTATTATTTTGATCATTCATTGTTTCATATGTATAATATAGTTCTTCTAACCTCGCTGTTCATCCGGTAATGCTTTGAGTCAATGACACTTCTGACTTGTTCTAGAAGTGACATTTGACAATTTAACGTCATTGAGCGTCATCTCTCGGTCCTCTTCATAATCGACTATCATCCTTTTATAGAATTTTTTTTTTCATGGCCATATTCTTATAACTTGAGATTTTAATACGTTTATTTTATGTTTATTATATTATCTCGATAGGTTAGTCAAAATCAAGTTGAAGAAGAGGCTGTAGCTAGAGAAATAGGCGAAAAATTAGGATATTCCCCCGGTATATCTTACAGAGAGATTGCAGAAAAAGCTGCCGAGTTTGGAAAGAAAAAACTTGCCATAAAGGTAAAGAAATTTTGTATAACATCTGACCGAAACTGTTACCACATTCAAAGATATGTAGGTCTTTAAATGTATTTATGTGGTTTATTAAATGTTTATTAGCTGTTGGACTACGAATCAAAGGCCAGTGAGCAAGTGGAGTTGCTTCTAAAATTAGGTGAGAATCAACCGGCGCTTCTCAAGGCTATCGAGAGTGGTGATACTGATCTAGTCTACATGGTGATTTTGAAGTTAAGAGAAAAAATGGCCTTAGGTGATTTCAAGGTATTTATAAATTGTACATTTATATTACAATAGATTTCGTTTATTACGTTATTATGCGTGTTTTATGTGCTTAGACATCATTTCAGACACATAACTATCCTGTGATGTTTTGACAGTGAAATAAAAGTAGGAATTCACAGTTGTTAACAATTTAAAATAAACTGTGAATAACTAAACCACAAATCGTGCGATAGCGGCGTTTCGCCTCCACAACGCTTTAAGTCGAAAATCGGATAACACCGTATGATTAACATGGGCTGTATTGGAATACTCGCTGTATACACAGAACGGTCTCGCCCGAGTAGGATACTCCTAATTCACAATCTTGTGATCATGTTTTAAACTGTTACTTTTATCTTTTTTTTATTACAATACAAAAAATACCAATAAAAAAAGCATAGGCAATACAAAGAAAAAATTGTGTATTCGGTAGAAAAATTATTATAGAGGGTGTTCCTTTAATGACTTACTAATATTTAAGTGGGTGATTCTTGGACTTATTCTAAGAAAAAAACTTCATATGGGTATTTGCCCTAAACGTTTTTTACTTTTGAGATACAGGGCGGTCAAACTTTCTAATAAATGTTTATTCAAATATCTTGATGTTATAGATATTTTTAAAGTTTAATTATTATTGTTCTTTGTTAAAAAAATTGTGGTGAAGTCGGTAGGATATCGAGGTTATATTACTGTTGAAAACTTTAGATCCAATAAGCTTCGTGGATAAAACTATCCATATTATAACCATCAAATTTAATTTATAATTTTACTGAAAAAAAATACTTTCCTAATATTTTCATTACTGGAAATATGATTTTCAGATGACAATTCGAAACTTCCCAGTTGCGTTGTCATTGTACATCAAATATTGCAAGGAATACAATACTGCAGCCCTGAGCGAAATATATATACAAGAAGACGATTTCTCGTCGCAAGCTTTAATGTTTATATCGGAAAGTCTTGATGATAAGGTAACCTACATTTAAAACTTGGTTTGGAAAGATTTTTCTATTTCTATACCCACTGATTTGACGTTATACTAAGCATCATATGAGTTTCAATTTTGTCTTTTTTAGAATTCTCACACAAGAGATTCGTTGATAAGTTCAGCCATGGACGCTTATAAAAAAGGAAGAAAAGATTTGTACGCTTCTATGTGCGAAGATACTCTCAAATTATTAAAGCTTCAAAGGGACTGGGAGGAAAAATTCAACCTTCGTGGAAAACTAGTCGGAAAATCCATACACAGTACTTGCAAGGAGTTGCTGGAACAAAATGAAATAAAACTTGCGGAAAAAGTGAAGAATGACTTCAAGATTCCCGATAAAAGGTAAGACATACACTTCGGTTTTCTATTCTTGACTGTTACGTCATTCTTTTCGACGCCATATTGTTTTTCACGTATTTCTTGTATTTGTCTGCGTGTGTGTAGCTGCGTGCTGTTCTTTTTTATCTGTTAAAACGATGTTTTTCTTTTTCTATTTGTGCACATTAGACAAGGAAGCAGAATCTTTTTTTCTGTAATGACAAGACGATCTAAGAAATAAACGAAAACATTCTGCAATTATACTTTATACTTAAGAACGATCATTGACAATGTATAAAAACCCAATTAAAATTAATAGAATATTATAGCAACAGCTTGCGGTATTGCGGATCAGTTGTATCCAGTATCCAGTATAAAGAAAGCATAATAATTAGCTTATAAAGTTATAAAACAATAAACTTTTGATTTCTAACCTCTCTTGACGGATGATAATCAAAGACCAAAATGACAGTACTCGCAAATTTTGAAGTATAATTAGTGGAAAAAGTTAAAAATTTGTCAACTTTTTCTACTAATTGAAAATGTCTATCACTAGAAATTTTGAAGTTTTGAATACTTGCATTGAAATTAGAGAAACAGACTTCTACGCTAATTGAAACCACTAATTTATTCCACTGAATTAAAGGTTCTGAATGAAGCTCAACTCTGTATAATTGTTCTTTATCTGTCTATGAGTATATATTTTTCCGTATAGATATTGGTGGTTGAGGATAGAAGCACTGGGAAAAAGAGATGATTGGACAGAATTGGAGAAATTCTCCAAGCTTAAGAAGTCTCCAATAGGTTACGCGCCATTCGTTGACGTTTGTTTGACGTATTCCAACAAAGACGAGGCCGCCAAGTATTTGCCCAAAGTTGCAGACGATATAAAAGTGAAGTACTACCTTAAAGTTGGGTATGTTTTTTTTTAAATTTGTAACATAAACCTAGTTCATATATAGTTACGTGGATAAGCAAATAACTAGAAAAACTGTCATAACATATACACACATATCAACGACGTACTACTATCTTATTTCTTTGTTGCACGCGCGGTACTGCTACTCTATCTGTCGTTGATTAGGAAGTCCATTAGTCCAGTCAATTATAGTCCACGCGCCAAATTTGAATATTAACTTAAAATATGGATAACTATATCGAGAGACTCAAACCTCTATTATTTTTTATTTTTTTAGATAAAAAAACGAGATTTGGTATGTTAGCATATGCCATAAATTAGGATTGATTGACGTATTCGATTGATTTTGGTCACACCCTCGGTATTTTATTACTTCATTTGATAGAAAATGACACTCCGAATAGAATGACATATCATATGTCAACTTTTGACATTTTTGCATATGGTTTATTTTTTGTAACATCCGGTTCATAACGACAATTTGACAAGAAATACCAAATGTGTGGTACCAAAATAATTGGTAAAAAAATGTCTTTCAAATATGCTAATGAGCCACCAATTTGTAAAAATTGAGATTCAAATAAAAATACGGTTTGGGCATCTTGTAACTGGCCAGGATAAGACACGAAAAACATTAGACGATCAAAACTATTTTTCCAAGGCTCCTTGATTAAAAATTAATGTTTTTAACACAGCCATGGCACTCTAGATTGAAATTTAAAATACGATTTTTTAAGCGAAAATGTCAAAAGTTGACACATGATATGTCATTCTATTCAGAGTGTCATTCATTTCTATCGAATAAAGTAGAAAAAGACATTTCCGATGAAACAGGAACTAGCCAAAAATAAGTGGATACGTCAATCAGTCCTAAATTATGTCATATATTATCATACCAAATCTCGTTTTTTATCTCAGAAAAAATAAAAAGTTATAGGGGTAAACCACTTTCGAGACGCACCCGGCATAAATAAAGAAAACATAAAATTAACTTCCAACTGAACACACTTGCATCCTTTGCAATATAAGTGTGATGAAAGCTTGAAAGTCTAAATAAAAACTTCAAAAAAAAACAAGATTCGCACCCAATGAAATGGTTATGAATTTCACTTTTATGGCAGTTTCTCAGAGTTCCCAATAATATAAGAGAAATGAAACAATGCGCTCTGAGTTTTAAACGAATTTTTATTTATTAGAAATTTAATTTAGCAGTGACGTCTTTGATGACATGCACGTTGTTGATTTCCCTATACAGGGTGGTCCGAACTGTATTCCGGAAACTTCGGCAGTATATTCTGCAGATAAAAATAAGTAAAAAAGTTCGTATAAATGTATGTCCTAAAATGCTTAGTTTCAGAGATACAGGGTGTAGACATTTCATTTTTATTTCGATTTTTTCTAAATAATTTCTGAAAGAACGTCAATATTTGGATGAAAATTGGTGTCTGCGAGTTTTTTGACATGAGAAATTTGATTTTGATGTCAATATGACTCCTACTAGTAGAGGGCGCCCCGCGTGTGTTTTAACTGTTGTTAAATACGTGTGTTTTAACTGTTTTGAAGCGAAATAACTTTTTGTCCGTACCTGTATAAAACTACCGAGCGAAAAAATATACATCTCTGTAATTTTTTACGTTAAAAATATCTCTTTGTAAAAATCGCTACGAGCAACTGTTCTTAAGATATTTAGAATGGAAATAGTCAATACATGTCATTATTGACGAAAAATAAACACGTTGAGTAGATAGTTATTTCACTGAAATAGTGAATTTAGAAAATTTTTATTTTTTTAAATTAATCATAAATTTTTCTGCAAAAAATGATGATTAAACAGTTTCTGTTGAACATTTGGCACAAAAACATTTCAAATTTATGATTTGAGTCTAATAACTATTTATAGTCTGTCCAACGAGAAGATCCTTGACAGTGATAGATGTGTCTGTCATTTTAATTTCAAAGTAGTTTATTTTATTTTACAAAGAAATAAGTTGGTACAACTGGAACACATAGCAGGAAATTAATATATGTATTTAAAATTTGACTAAGTAACTTCAAAATATTGTGAAAAAAACTGTATACAACCCTTGTTTATATAATTCATATACAAGGATAAAACTGAAAAAATGTAATCGAGTTATTATATTTAATAAAAAAACGGTATGTGTTAATACAAAACAAACAAGAACAAGACACTACATACCAAAAAAATATAAAAAAGAACTATTATTTACTTTCAAGCTTTATGAAACTACCCGCATTTATGATTATATTTATCAATATAACTTATGTACAAATACAAATATGTAATGTTCCGCAGGAATAAGTAAAACAACATAAATAAACAAACGATTTTATTAATAATAACACTTACCAAATTTTATACCTCACAGGTTGATTAATTAACTTCAATCTTAATTTTTTTAAACCAGTACCTTTTGACATTATTTTTCTGCAGTACTAAAATCCATTATTTACCTATCGTGTGATGTCGATATTTTACAGCTACTCCAGTTTTTAGTATGTGTTTAGAGTATGGCCCTTCTACCATATTCGAGATGCACTTATCTACGACGAGATGGTATACGAACTTTATTGATAGTAACTTTATTGGTGTATCTGTATAATACTTTCTGCCTGGGCAGCGAGTATTAACCATAAACTGTGTTCTGGGTTCTACAGTTAATTTTCACTCGATTTTTCCTCCACTTGACTTCAAAAGACACAAAACACACGTAATAACACGAATCAAAATGCATCATCTTCCAAAACGCAGGGTATTTGACAGAAGTTGTCACAAAATTATAACCTATGATTTGGCAAGACTTTGAAAAACGTCAAAAATCTAAAGGCGAGTTCATACGCATCGGCGTCCGTTTGTCGTTCATCGTTCCGTCAAACCAATAAAATTGAAAGACGATCTGTCATTTTTGAAATAAACCAATAAAACTGGTTAAAAACAACAAGTGACGACGCATGACGAATTTATATTTAAACCCATACATAGTTAACTTAAAAATTATTAGAAACTTTTTTTAATAAAATAAATAGATTGGTATGGGACGTCTGTCGAAATCTTACCTGAGAAAAAAAAACAGAGTATAGTCAACATGTTTAATTTATGTCAATTATGACAGGTATTGATAATTTCTATTCCAAATATCTCGAAAACTATTACTCGTAGCGGTTTTTACCGAGAGACCTTTTTTACGTAAAAAACCTTGTAAATGTATATTTTTTTACTCTGTAGTTTTATACAGGTACGAACAAAAAATTATTTTTCTTCAAACCAGTTGAAAAATACGTAGGTGGCGCCCTCTACAAGTAGGAGTCATATCGACATCAAAATCAAATTTCTCATGTCAAAAAACTCCCAGACACCGATTTTCACTAGTAATACCACTAGAGGTCAAATTATTTCCGGAAATTTTTTCGAGCTCATGAATATTTTGAAAATTATCGAGTCGAAGACGAGGGATAATTTTCTAAAAATATTCATGAGCGAGAGAAAATGTCCGGATTTAATTTGACCTCGTGTGGTATTCGGTAAGAAAATTCCACACCAAATTGTGTTTGAAAATCAAATAATTAAAATGTATTTTTCGATTTTTGGTCGAATTGATTATTTAGTTACTATGACAACCATGACAACTAAGTGACACCCAAACCTAAAAACTATTTCAGTTTTGAAGCTGTCAAGCGGCACGGCTTAAAAAAATGTTTCGCTTCGGTCATGAAAGCAAAGAAAATATTCGCCAGGAGATTAAGCAGTTGATACCCGCGAATACTAGGAAACCGAAGTCAAGCGTATGGAAGCAGTTTACAAACTTTCATCTCAGCTTTGTAATTGAAATGTATCAAAATTATCATGTACACAAATAAAAACCAGACTCTCAAAAAGATATTCTGTCATTATAAACGTCAAAAAATTTCCAGTATAATTCGCTGTTGGGTGCCCACAAGAAAAAAAATTTCACTAAAATTTCACTGGAATTTTCATCCAAATATTGACATTACTTCATAAATTATTTGGAAAAAATCGAAATAAAAATGAAACTTCTACACCCTGTATCTCCGAAACGAAGCATTTCAGGACATAGATTTATATGAACTTTTTTACTTATTTTTATCTTCAGAATATGCTACCGAAGTTTCCGGAATACAGTTCGGACCACCCTGTATATTATTAAACAATTTAAGTTTGATTTCTATTTCAGTTTGCTAGAAGAAGCAGCTGAAATCGCTTTTCAGCAAAGAGACATTCCAAGTTTAACGAGCGTTCAGTATAAAGCCTCGGGTCAGCCTCAACTCTTACAAAAAATATCGTCTATGATCAACCAATTAGATTATAAGAATAAATAAATTTATTTCTCTATAGTAAGATATATTTATCATTATATTTTTTTTTGTTTATTGTTATTAAATTTTGTTTATTAAACGCTTTACATAAGTACCTATAGATATTTTTGTTATCAACCTAAATATTTTTATTACTAACCATTTATTTATACAGGGTGTGCCAAAAATTTACTACATGGAGAAACAACAATATTTTTGTGTTGTTGAAAATAAAACTACAACCTAACCTAACTCTAAATATATAGTTTTTTGTCCGCATTCCTTTCATACAGATTCAGTAGACGTACTTTATATCTAATTATTTTGGCAGATCTTGGCTACTTCGTTTTACTACTGTCGTTTTGTAAGGTTTGTTTAGATTGAAATTCGCACTAATAAAATAAGGGTAAACGTATTGATAATGATGATAAGATAAAATAATAAATAAAAAGGAGAAAGCGATTATATAGCAATTGTCTTGTTCATCATTCAGTTTGTCGCATTGAGTTTGTTTCCAGAGTTTTTTGAGAGTCCTAGTAATGGCAGGTAAGGGAACCTAAGTATATTATATTTTGCTTAAAAAAAACTACAAAATAGATCATAATGAGTATATAAATTAAAATATTCAGGCAAAAAACAATCTACATTTGAAATAAATATTATGTATTTTTTTACCAGATAGACTATATAGGTAATGTATTTATAGTTTCTTGATTGCAGATACTTTGACCAAGAACATGTTTAGCTTTCTAAAAAAGCTTCAAATATATTTTTCCATCTGTCAAATATTTCTATTATATTAGGAGTATTTGTTTTTCTATGAAATAACACAACTAATTAGAAATTGGCAAATATGTCTGCCTATATAAAGATAAAAAGATAAAAGCAT